AAAACTCACGTCTCCACAATGCCGCAAGGCACTCCAGGATATGTAGATCCGGAGTATTACCAAAGTTACAGTCTAAACGAGAAGAGCGACGTGTACAGCTTTGGTGTCGTACTCGCTGAACTCATATCTTCCAAAGAAGCTGTCGATATCACAAGACATCGCCACGATGTCAACTTAGCGATCATGGCCGTTAATAAGATCCAGAACAATGCGGTGCACGAACTCGTCGATCCGAGCCTTGGATACGCGAAGGATCCAGAAGTGAAGAGGGAGATGATTTCGGTGGCTGAGCTAACATTTCGATGTTTGCAACAGGAGAGGGAAAGTAGGCCATCGATGGATGAGATCGTGGAGATATTGAAAGGGATCAAGGGGGAGAAGAGCGGGAAGTTACCAGATGTGGTGGATATTGAGGTAAGCAGGGGAGATGACGTTGGAATACAGAGGCATAGTTATCCTCCGCCCGCTTCACCGGATGCTGATAAGCTGACTAGCAGTTCGGATAGGGCTGCAAGTTCATTTTGAGAGATTTTACAATCAGGTTTCGGTGGTGGTGTGTCTGTATTCACTCTGGTAAAACTCTTCTTTATATATTTATTTTTGGCTCAGCTAAGATCTATTCGTTTGTGTTATTGTGTATATACTGTATGTATGGTTGCTTATTTGGCTACTTTTCAAAATGACAATTCTAGTACTTCTTTTTTAACACTGTAATTTTATTCAAAAAATATTTGTCCATGCATCGTCTGTGTGTGAATAATGTCAATATGCCAATTATAATATAGTATATCATAGCCTATGGCTTCATATGATCATTTGATGAATTCATTTTTTTTGATATACAGCTAAGTTCACTTGTACGATCATATGGTCAATTATTAATGTTTTTTTTGTTATAGAACCAAATTTCCTCTATATAAAATCACCTAAAACAATAAGTAAAAAGACAAAGTATATACATCATAAATACAGTATACTCAGAGGACACAAGAATAAAACAAACATGATTTATCGATTTTTTTTTTCTGCCTCACACCAAACATATCACATTTAATTTTCATTGATCGTAATTTTTCATAATAAATTGTAAGAATTGATAATTGGAAAAAAAAAAACATCATATGACATGTTGATGAATTGGATTTTTCAATTTATATTGTGACTTTACTTGTTAAACCGTAAGCATTGACAAGCCTTACGGTGGTGAAATAATTTTTATAATTTCCAAGTTGTACAACATTTTGGTTATAATACCATTATTAAGGTCATTTAAATTTAGTTTTGAAAATTCTGTTTTAAAAATGAATGCATAGATAAAGATGATTTTCATCACTCATTACAAGATGAGGGTATTAGAGTTGAAGCAACAAATACAATTTTAAAGAACTTTATTCTCATTAGTTGTGAAATGACCGAGTCTAATGTATATTAACTTTCAAAAATCATAAGACTGCATTGACATTATAAGTGCATGATGTAGTCAGTGACGGTATTTTTAAAAACAAAGCAACTGGATATTCTTTTTAGTTTTGGAAGGTTACAAAATAAAGAGAAGAAGAATATGTGTAATTTACTAAGAAAAATAGATTAATATATAAGATCTCTTCAAATTATCATGCAATCGTGTTTTCAAAAATGCTGTATTCTTACATGGATTCAAAAAATATGAATGTTTACTTCTCGTTACAAAACAAATTAATAATTATATTAATTTAAAAATGATTAGATTTTTATGTGCTTGCATTTTAGTTAGTTTCAAATATATTAAGTTGTATTCCAAAGTTCAGAATAACTTACATAAACTGATAATAAGAGATAGTGTATTTGTGTTTTAATTATAATCCAAAACTATAAAATAAATATACATTTTTAGTAGTATATGTACATTGATACAAACTCATGCAATTTACACTGTGACACATGAACTTCTTAAAACAGAAATAAATAGGTTTTATATAGAGAAATTTGCTCTCCTACCAAAAAACTTACGAGTAATTTGCAATATACCAAAGAGAAAAAAAGCTGTTACTATTCAACAAGTTGTTTTACCCTCATACCCTTTTGTCATAACCTCTCACCTGACCTTAACCAACGGGTAGCACCCACTCTTCCATGCGCTAGGAGTTGTAGACACAGTAGATACACCATATCTTTTGTGTCAGATGTTTCTGCATAGATATTCAAATCTTTGATTTATCCAAATCTTTTGTGTCAATCATTTTGTGTTTGGCACAAAATATAGGTTGGGTTCAGTCACTTGGCCGGCTACGATTGCAAATTTCATGGATAAACACTAGATTATCCGGATATGATTATAATTAACATCTTCTATAAATTTTTACTCATCTAACAAATGGTCGACACAAAAGATTTGGATTAGACGTTTTGTCAAACGTTTCTGCATAGATATTCAAATCTTTGATCATCCAAATCTTTTGTGTCAGTCGTTTTGTGTTTGACACAAAATATAGGTTGGCTTCAGTCACTTGGCCGGCTACGATTGCAAATTTCGTGGATAAACACTAGATTAGCCGGATATGATTATAATTAACATCTTCTATAAAATTTTACTCATCTAACAAATGGTAGACACAAAAGATTTGGATTAGACGTTTTGTGTTTGGATTCCAAATCTTCTGTGTCAGACGTTTCGGCGTAGATACGATATGATTATAATCATTAATTATAATCATATCCGGCTAATCTATATTTATTTGTCGGCCAAGTGACTGAAGCCAACCTATATTTATTTGTCGGGGATACTGGATCAGTACTAATGGTTTAGGACCACTTGTAATGTAAGAGATTTGTGTTGAGGGTTTAGGGTTAAGAGATATGCTAGGGTTTGGGTTTAATAAATTGAAGTTTAGGGTTTAGCTTGGTGTTTAGGGTTTAGTATTTAAGGTTTAGGGTTAGGGTTAAGGGTTTAAGGTTTATAGGTTTGGGTTAGGGTTTATTTGTTTGGTGTATAGTTGACCATTTGTTAGATGAGTAACAATTGATATAAGACGTTATTTATAATCGTACACGGTTAATCTAGTTTTTATCCACGTAATTTGCAATCATAGCCGGCCAAGTGACTGTAGCTAACATGTTTTTATTTGTTGGGGATATTGGATCAGTTCTAATGGTTTACAACCATTTGTAATGTAAGAGCTTTGTGATAATTATAAATGTATCCGGCTAATCTAGTGTTTATCCACGAAATTTGCAATCGTAGTCGGCCAAGTGACTGAAGCCAACCTATATTTATTTGTCGGGGATACTGGATCAGTACTAAGGGTTTAGGTCCACTTGTAATGTAAGTGATTTGTGTTAAGGTTTAGGGTTAAGAGATATGCAAGGGTTTGGGTTTAGGAAATTGAAGTTTAGGTTTTAGCTTAGGGTTTAGGGTTTAATATTTACGGTTTATGGTCTAGGGTTTAGGATTTAGAGTGTAAGGTTTTAGGTTTAGGGTTTAGGGTTGAGATTATTGGGTTAAGGTTTATTCGTTAGGTATATTTTCGACCATTTGTTAGATGAGTAAAAGTTTATATTAAGACGTTAAATATAATCTTATCCGGCTAATGTAGTGGCTATCCGCGTTATTTGCAATCGTAGTCGGTAAAGTGACTGAGACTAATATATATTTATCTGTTGGTAATATTGGATCTTACTAGTGGTTTAAGACCACTTGTAGTTTTTTAATTACTCTAAAACCTATAAAAAATCTGAGCATAATCTTTTCGAAGATTTGGTTCAGAGATTTTGTGAGGCATGAATAATAAATTTCTCTTATCGATGCAACTTAAGCTAATGTGTGTTAAAAAAAAAAAAAAAAAGAAGAAGCTAATGTAAACAAAATCTCCTTTTTATCTTGCAAAATCTATTGAAGATCTTGTGTCAGACACAACTACCCATAAATTCAAAACCGGGAAGGTGAGACATCCAACGGGCAGGGTGTTTTAGTCTTTCTATCACCTCTTCTTATGCCACATATACACTCTCTTTCATCACTTTGGTAGTAGGGCATGCTAATTTCACAATCTTTCATGGTTTTCTAGCTAAATTGCTCTTTTATATAAATATATATAAAATTGTAAAATATAATATTTTTATTTTTATAAAATGAATTCCTGTGTAAAATAGTACGGGTTTTTTACCTAGTTACAATAAAATAAAAACATAAGATATCCCCATATCAAATATTTTTTTTTACAAAAAAATGAGAATATTCCAAGCACCTGATTTCGAAGTCATTGTACGGATCTATATAAGAATCGTGCTATCATTCTTGTATCAAACCAGAATCGTGCTATGATGTCCTAGAAAATCCTTTTATATTCTATAAACACCAAAGAAAAAAACAGTCGCCTAAATCACTGTTTCTTTGCGTCGTCTCTAATATACATTCAAAATCTGCGTTGTAACTCGTAGGCCATCTAAAAAAACTAGTAAGCCACCTAGTTTCAAAAGAAACAATGATTTAACCATATAAGCATGGTTGAGTGGTACAGTGGAATTAGAAAAGTGTTAAGTATCATGCATTCGAAACCTAGCATTTTTTTTTGAATTATACATAAATATCCTAGCACTCATTGAAGTGGGTTCAAATTAGCCACATGTCATCCATGTGTCAGTTTCCTATCTCTAACAATATCGAAATGTTAATTCTCCATGAAGCGGACTAACATTATTGATATATTGGTGACATAGATATGTAATTCTCATTGCAAGTAATTTGGTTTGTCTCCCAAAAACTTAGTCGGTTGGGTTCTCCCGCCGTCTAGTTATTAAAACAAACATGGTATGCCAACTAATTCTCAAACACATCGATTTGTAAAATATGAAACTCCAGAAAGGAATATTAATATATACTATAATAAAGAGAAGGTTGGTCAGATAATCCAAACATAGGTTCGTTTAATTAAACTCTTACAAAACCAAGACATTCTGCTTTTTCACCATTTTCCTTGCCTCCCAACACAATGATCAATCTTAATATATCCCAGACAAAATCCATGTTCCATATAATCATATGTATGCTGTTTGCAATACCTTCTTCTGTTATCTCAACTAATGAGCTTCATGATCTTTGCAGTCAACCGTTTAGCTGCGGCAATCAAAGCGGTCTCTTGTACCCTTTTTGGATACCTGGCCGAGAAGACTGTGGCCACCCTGAGTTCAAAGTCGACTGTAGCCATGGATTCGCAGAGATTAGTATCTCCGCTGTGAATTTCAGAATCTTGGAGGCGAACTATGACTCTGGTAAGATAAGACTGGCGAGATCAGATTATATTGGCGATCTTTGTCCCACAGATCCTTCGCATATGCCATTCGCCCAAAACGTCCTTCAACCTGTTCCTACCACCGAGATGCTAAGAATTTATTACGACTGCCGCCAAAACTTCTCAAAGTATGTTCCTGATTATTTTGGAGCGCTTCCTTGTCGTGGTGATAATGACAATGGTAATAACAAAAGAAATTATTATGTGACGAGAAACCTCTCGTACCCTCTTCTTCAAGAGATTAAACCCGTTTTAGCCAACCTCAGCATATCTTGCGATAAAAACGTCAGTATTCCTGCATCTGGGCCCACGCTGAACACGCTACAGTTGAATTCAAGTATAGATAATCTACAGAAGGCACTTGAAGAAGGTTTCGAGCTTGGATTTAACCAAGATTGTTGGACGTGCAAAAACTCTACGGGTGTTTGTGGATATAATCGGAGCTCAAGTGGATTCACCTGCTATTACTGGGAGAAGCCCAATAACCGTACTAGAAACAACAGTAACCGTAAGATTTATTTCTTACATGTGCTAACCTCTATATGTCTTTCACAAGTACTACCTTTTGTATCAGATCGAACTTACAGTTTTTTTGTTTTTATGGTGCCATTCCGTTAATGCAGGTCTTCCCACTGGAAATATAGTAGGTACCTTCCGTTCTCCTGTTGTTTCAAAAAAACTGACTTGCCTTATTTGATTACCATATGCAACACAAAACCATAGTCTTGTTATGAAACCCTTGTTTTCTTTTCTTTGTCTCTAGGAACCGGGATTGCTTCTGTATTAGTGCTTTTATTATTGATAGCCGGATGCAGGCTCTGTCTAATCAGACCGCGGAAGATACAAGCAGCACAACACACAATTAGAGGCTTGCCTATAACGTCTTATTCAAGCAAACAAGCACCAAGCCATCAAACTTTCAAAACAATCTCAAGCAGTAGAAATCACTCTCTTATGCCCTCAATGTCTTACATCACAAACGCAAGCGCCTACTTCGGAGTTCAAGTCTTCAGCTACGAAGAACTCGAGGAAGCCACTGATAATTTCTCTAAAGAGCTTGGCGAGGGCGGCTTCGGTACTGTCTACTACGGTAAGAAACGCTGAATCTTCAAATCCCATATTCAAAATATTAGCATTCTGATAAAACATCTTTGGCGATTTCTGTAAGGCGTGTTGAAAGATGGACGAGCAGTAGCGGTGAAACGATTATTTGAAAGATCTATTAAACACGTTGAACAGTTCAAAAACGAGATCGACATATTGAAAACTATGAAACATCCAAATCTTGTGATACTCTATGGATGCATATCGAGACACAGCAACGAGCTTTTGCTCGTCTATGAGTATATCTCAAATGGAACTCTGGCCGATCATCTTCACGGCGATCGTGCTGAAACTCATCCTCTTTGTTGGCCAATTCGTCTAAACATCGCGATCCAAGCAGCAAGTGCTTTATCCTTCCTCCACAAATCAGGTAAAACAACAAATTCGATTATCATTGTGGGCCTTCGATTAAAAAAAGGTCACATGATTTAGGCGCCATATATATATATATATGAGTTTAAAGGTATAAAAAAATTAGCGTATGGGCATATGTACGTTCATAAAATTTTGTTTTATGTTTTTAGCAGCTAGATATATAGAACCGACCCTGGTAGGAAACAGTATATTTTCGTTTGATTTGATTTTGATTCTGTTGCAGGGATCATACATAGGGACGTGAAGACAACAAACATTCTTCTAGACGAGAAATACACTGTGAAGGTAGCTGATTTTGGACTCTCACGATTGTTTTCCACAGACAAAACTCACATCTCCACAGCACCGCAAGGCACTCCGGGATACGTAGATCCGGTGTATCACCAATGTTACCATCTAAACGAGAAGAGCGACGTTTACAGCTTCGGTGTCGTACTCGCTGAACTCATTTCTTCCAAAGAGGCCGTGGATATCACAAGACATCACCACGATATCAACTTGGCGAGCATGGCGGTTGCCAAGATCAAGACCAATGCGGTGCACGAACTCTTCGATCCTAGTCTTGGATTTGCAGAGGATCCAGAAGTGAAGAGGGAGATGATTTCGGTGGCTGAGCTTGCGTTTCGATGTTTGAAACTGGAGAGGGAAGGTAGGCCGTCGATGGATGAGATTGTGGAGATTTTGATTGAGATTAAGGGGGAGAAGGGCGGGAAGTTACCAAATGTGGTGGATATTATGGTAAGCAGAGGAGATGACGTTGTAATATTGAGGCATAGTGATCCTCCGCCGGTTTCGGCGGATGCTGATACGTGGACCAGAAGTTCGGATACGGCTGCGTGTTCATTTTGAGAGTGTGTAATTAGGGTATTCACTCTGGTAAAAACTTCTTTCAATCTTCGTTTAAATATTTATATTTTGGGTCAGCTAAGATCTTTATCGTCTGTGTATATGTGTGTGATTGCGTTTTTGGCTTCTTTTCAAAATGACAAATTCTAGTACCTCGTTCTTTTAACTTATCATTTAGTCACTTTCTTTCAATTATTGCAATTTCTTTATAGATTGTAAATTTGTAATAAAAAACAACAATGACAGAAAGGCACTGTACGCTGGACGCTGGTCATATTTCGTAAAACAGAACATATATATTTACAAAAAGAGAATATTCCAAGCACTTGATTTTGAAGCGTTGTGTTGTCCTAGAAAACCGTTTTATACTCCATAAACAACAAAGAAATACACTCGTCTAAAATAGCATCGAATGTGAGAAAAAACTCGTCTACATCACTGTTTATTTTTGTCGTTTACTAATAATATACATGTTTAGTGGAGTTCTTATAGTAGGGTTCTTAGAGCTTACGGTTGGAGTCCTTAAATTTTTTTAAAAAAATTTCTAATTATTTTTTTAATTTTTTTCAGATTTAAAAAAAAAATACTAACCAATTGTGGGTCGTCACGTGTCTTAGGGACCCGTAAATAGTGCAAAAATTTGCTAAAAACAGTATTTATTTAGAGATTTTAAAGATTAAATCCTTAACTTTTTATGAGATTCATTGATTATTTAATTATTTTTTCTTAAAAATTTTCTCATAAAGATTTTCATTAGAGATGCTCTTATATTCGTTAAAATCTCTGTTCTAAAAACCTCCCACTAAAGATGCTCTTGTAACTTATAAGCCATCTAATAAACTTGTAAACCACCTAATTCCAAAAGAAACCTCGATTTCATCGAGTAGTACAGCAAGTTTAGAAATGTGCGAAGCACGGTGGGTTTGAACTTTGAAATCTACCACTTTAGTGTGATCAGGTAATATGAGTATTTAATTCTTTCGACAAAAAAAAGAGTATTTAATTCTCATTGCAAGTAAATTAGTTTGTCTGGCGCAGATGGACAAATCTTTAAAAATTAATCATTTGGGATTTAACCTGCCGAACACTTCCGATTATTAAAAAGAAAAATTCATGTACGCCACTAATTCCAAAAGAAACATAGATTTGTAAAATATGAAACTCCAGAAAGGAACATGGATAGATTAATAAAGAGGTTGGTCACATTCACCAATTCTTTCATATCTTCTTTTTTTTTCACGAATTTTCCTAAATGTCTCCCAACAAATTGACCGATCTGTTTCCATCTCCTACAAAATCCATGTCCCATATAATCATGTGGATGCTCTTTGCTATACCTTCTTGTGTTTTCTCAGCTCATAAGCTTCATGATCGCTGCAGTAAACCCTTTAGCTGCGGCAATCAACGCGGTCTCTTGTACCCTTTCTGGTTACCTGGCCGAGAAGACTGTGGCCACCCTGACTTCAAGCTCGACTGTAACAGTGGATTCGCAGAGTTTAGTATCTCCTCGGTGAAGTTCAGAATCTTAAAGGCGAACTATGACTCTGGTATCATAAGACTGGCGAGATCGGAATATATTGGCAATCTTTGTCCCATAGACCCTTCGAATATGCCATTCACCCAAAACGTCCTTCAATATGTTCCTACCACCGAGCTGCTAAGGATTTATTACGACTGCCGCCAAGACCTTTCAGAGTATGTTCCTAAATATTTTGGAGCGCTTGATTGTGATGGTGAGAATGACGATGGTGATGACAAAAGAAATTATTATGTGACGAGAAACCTCTCGTCTTATCTATTACATGGAGTTAGCCCCGTTTTAATCAACCTCAGCGTATCTTGCAATATAAACGTTAGTATTCCCGCATCTGGGCCCACGCTGAACACGCTACAGTTGAATTCAAGTACAGATAATCTAAAGAAGGCTCTTGAACAAGGTTTCGAGCTTGGACTTAACCAAGATTGTTCGAAATGCAAAAGCGCTAAGGGTGTTTGTGGATATAGTCGGAGCTCAAGTGGATTCACCTGCTATTACATGGACAAGCCCAATCACGGTAAGATTTCTTTCATTCATGTGCTAACCTCTATATGTCTTTCACAAGTACTACCTTTTGTCCCTACAATTCCCCCACTCATTGACCTCATGAGTTTCAACTATTAATGTTTCCAGTAAGACTCAAGGTTCTGTATTCAGATGAACTTACCGTTTTTTGTTTTTGTTTTTTATGGTGCCATTCCATTAATGCAGGTCTCTCCAGTGGAACCATAGCAAACCTTTACCGTAATCCTGTTTTTCTATAAATTTGATTTGATTACCATGTACCATATGCATCACACAACACCATAAGCCTTGTTTGTTTTTTTCTGTGTCTCTAGGAATCGGGATTGCTTCTTTATTAGTGCTGTTATTTTTGATAGCCGGATGCGCACTCTTCCTAATCAGACGGCGGAGGATACAAGCAGCTCAAATCAGAAGCAGAGATTTGCCAATAACGTCTTATTCAAGCAAACAAGTACCAAGCAATCCAACTCCCAAAACAATCTCAAGCAATAGAAATCACTCTCCTTTCTTCCCAATCTCTAACATCATAAACGCAAGCACCTCCTTTGGAGTCCAAGTCTTCAGTTATGATGAACTCGAGGAAGCCACTGAGAATTTCTCTAGAGAGCTTGGCGAGGGAGGCTTCGGTACTGTCTACTACGGTAAGAAACACTGAGATTTCAAATGCAACTTCAATATATTTTGCATTTTGATCAAACATTTTTGGCGGTATCTTTTAAAAGGCGTGTTGAAAGATGGACGAGCTGTAGCAGTCAAACGACTATATGAAAAATCTCTTAAACACGTTGAACAGTTCAAAAACGAGATCGACATATTGAAAACTCTGAAGCATCCAAATCTCGTGATACTCTACGGATGCACATCGAGACATAGCAGCGAGCTTTTGCTCGTCTACGAGTATATCTCAAATGGAACTCTTGCCGATCATCTTCACGGTGATCGTGCTGAAACTCGTCCTCTTTGTTGGCCAATTCGTCTAAACATTGCGATCGAAACATCAAGTGCTTTATCCTTTCTCCACAAATCAGGTAAAAAAATTAAATTGAATATGAATGTGAGCCTTGGACTAAGCTCACATGATTTAGGCGCCAAGATTTATATATGAGTTTAAAGGTATTAAAAATTAGTGTATATAAAAAAATTGTATGTTTATAGTTTTCGTTGATTTGATTTGATTCTGTTGCAGGGATTATACATAGGGACGTGAAGACAACAAACATTCTTCTAGACGAGAACTCCACAGTGAAAGTAGCTGATTTCGGACTCTCACGGTTGTTTTCCACAGACAAAACTCACGTCTCCACGGCACCGCAAGGCACGCCAGGATATGTAGATCCTGTGTATTACCAATGTTACAGTCTAAACGAGAAGAGTGATGTGTACAGCTTTGGAGTTGTACTCACCGAGCTCCTCTCTTCTAAAGAAGCTGTTGATATCGCAAGACATCACCACGATATCAACTTAGCAAGCATGGCCGTTTCCAAGATCAAGAACAATGCGGTGCACGAACTTGTCGATCCAAGTCTTGGATTCGCCAAGGATCCAGAAGTGAAGAGGGAGATGATTTCGGTGGCTGAGCTTGCGTTCCGATGTTTGGAACAGGAAAGGGAAAGTAGGCCGTCGATGGATGAGATTGTGGAGATTTTGAAAGGGATCAAGGGGGAGAAGGGCACGAAGTTACCAGATGTGGTGGATATTAAGGTAAGCAGAAGAGGTGACGTTGGAATATTGAGGAATAGTGATCCTCCTCCAGTTTCGCCTGCTGCGAGTTCATTTTGAGAGACTGTATAATCAGGTCTCGTCACTGGTGTGTAATAAAGTCAGTGAGTTGATTACTCTCTAGGTTACATTTTAGTTTTGAGTGTATGTGTGATAATTTCTTGTGGGGTCAACAGTTTTTTTGGATGTCTATACCCTTTTCAGAAAGAGAATGTTAGTTTTTTTTCTTCCACTTTAAGTTTTCATTTACTTTTATCCCAAAATCTAAAAGGTATTGGAAAAATAATTGTCATGATAAATTATATATAAAATTATATCTTTTAAGATCTATTTTCATATATATAAAAAATATATATTAACGTGTAAATAAAAGTAAGTACTAAAGTATGGATAGTAGAATTATGGAAATGTTAACATCTTAACATGAAAGTCATTGGCGGACATCTTTTAAAACTTGTTTTTCGCCATAATCTCTGTGAAGGAGAGACCTACATAACCACATTTCCACTATTACTCTCACCATCACTGGCACCCAACGCCATCACCACAATCAAATTTTGGTTCTAACCCGGAGGCTATGCCGAAGAATAAGTTTTTCAAGATATTAGCCAACGATTTCAGTGTTAAAATGTCCATGTTCACAACTAGTATATAATTATATTATCCACGATTTGGTGTCCACGTCCATACTTAATTGTGTTTATACATTAATATATAATTTATATATGAAAATGGATCTTAAGAGATAGAGAATTTTATATAATTTATTATGTCAACTATTTTTGTTTAATATATTCTAGAATTTGAGATAAAAATAAATAAGAATATAAAGTGGAATAAAAAATAAAGTAAAATAAATACAAAAATAATGTGAAATAAAAGAAAAGAAGAACCGTATGATAAGAAGAAAACATCCGTAAAGACAATGGTACAATAAATTAAAACTAGGTCATAAGAGTTTTCTTGACAAGAGAATATGTATTTCAATGGTACAATAAATTAAAACTAGGTTAAGATTACTCCTAGGTTAATATGAAAACATTCTTTTCTTTTATGAAAAAAATCTTAAATCTATAATAATTGATGAGATGGTTTAAAAGAGTAGATAATATGCCGTATTTTATTAATATATATAGATTAACAATTAATTTTATTTTCAGTCTATAAAAACTGCTAAATCTTATTTTAGTAAATACTGCATATACAGCAAAAAAAAAACAAGCATATGCAGATGCATCAATTTTTAGATGTTTAAGAAATCGATAAGTGGTAACTAGATTAGACGAACGTTTAACTGTTTCATCTATAGTCCAATTTATCGACTAAAAGGAATATAAACTGTCTTTTATAACACTGATCATTTCCACAACAAAAAAAACAGCACTCGTTCTAACTGCCACGTGTAACCTATCTTCTCCAAGAATGGTGCCGATCCTAGTCACTATATTCTTTACCTTCCACTATGAGTCCTCACACGAAGCAAAGAATCATACCAAATCTACCAAAACACTACCCAAACCCCTTCAGATGATCAACGGAGACAATACCCAAGGCGAAAATCAATGTCCCTCCAAAAATTCAAGCTCCTCGCCACTCACTGCAGCACCGTCGCCGAGAGTCCAACTCGCAGCCCCGTCGTCCACCTCCGCCGCCGCAAAACGCTGCGTTTGTTACTCACCCGTTCGTCAGATCGGTGGCGATCACCGGAGATCCAAAATAACGCCGACGAATTGACGGGATCGGATGGTGCCAGGGGATTATCGGGGAAGAGGGATAAGATCCGATCTCGGCGGAAGCTGAGAGAGCTTTTCGTGTCGTCGCCTCCGGTGGAGGAAGGCCGACGTGGCGGCGGAGGCGGCGATGCGGGGAATGGAGTGGAGAGGGTGTTACCGGTTAACGGCGTTAATACTAGTGGAGGTATTGGAGAAGAGTCAACGGGTCGACGAATGGGCCTTAACGGCGCAACGAGGCCCATGTTGTCTGGCACGCTTCGATGTAGGTTACTACGAAGAGCTTGGCGTCCTGTTCTTGTAACTATTCCTGAACAATAATAAAGCAAATAAAAGATTTGACAATTTTTTTCTGATTGATTAAAGTTCGCTTAATAAGTAATTTATGAATTTTAGTTAATCCATATGTCGTTTAGTATTTTGTTTTATATTTTTGTGTGAAAAGTGTATTTCTTTGGTAATATGTCTCGTTGCAAGTTTTTAGTGAAAATTACAAGAATTACTTGTATTTTTTTTTGTCAGGAATTGAGTTTTTATTCAAAATACATAAGCAAATCCAATCTCAGAATGTTTTAGATCGGACATGACGAATGCCAACCGGTTTATTTGGATGGTGATTGACCGAAACCAAACCAGTTGTCAGTTGGGTAGGAAAAGATTTCTCTTGAAATTAACAAAAAAAAAAAATACATGTCATAGTCTGCTGATGCCTTAAAACTCAGAGTAAAGAGACATACAGTGTAACGGCGCGGCACATCTTTCTCGCCGAAAAGCTTCTTCTCGTGATGTCATCGTTTGCTCCAGTACGGAGTCTCTTTACCAGTGATGGAGACGCTCTTACTCTTCCCTCGTCTTTCTCTTTGCCTTTGTTTTAGTTGTCTTCAGCTTCTTCGATATCTTTGCGGGGCAATGGGAGCTCAGATTCGGTGATTCCTCCTCTCGGTCTGGTGTTGCGGTGAGTTGAGTAAGGAGACTGATGAGTTAATGGTCGGTTTGTGGGCATTAGTTTTTTTTAATGGATTTTCTGTCATGGTGGTAGTCTTTACAGGTTTGTTTAGGCCCATGGTGGTCTTGTAGCATCAGTATCGTTTGTATTTGTTCATCAGTGTCGGTTATTGTGCTACTTTGAGTTCTATCTCTTGTTTAGGCTTTGTTTTAGTGATTGGACCGACAGTTCTGTCCCGGCTGTTCTAGTTTCTTGTTCATGTAATCAGCTTAGTTTCGTTTTGAAGGATGTCTTTCGGATCGAATATTGTTGTGGCAGCATCTACAAGCTAGTCTCTTTAGCCTTTGCAGTTTCAAGGGGAGTTCAAGACATCGCATTGGTTTTGGCCTTTGTTTCCTCTCTTGTGAGGAAGTCTTTAATCCTTAGTCTGTAGGTGGTTTTGGTTGGATAGTTTACAGATTTAGAAGCATCTTATAAATGTCTCAAGGAAAAGTACGCTCGATCTCTGATGACACAATGGGGTCAATCTGGAGTGTAAACAGTATACTATAGTTCATGAATAAATATATTTATTGTTTCTGTGATATAATATGTTCTGAGGAGGTTTCTTGTTTTTATACGATATTCATTGAACATATTTCTGTAGAAACAGAAATATCCTCTGAAAGCGTAGAAGATTCTGGAAGAGGCGCTTGTAAAACAGGCTTTGGAGGGACTTCAAGATCATCAAGACTTCCTTCCATCATCTCCACCACTCTGTTCATCGATGGGCGATCTGAAGGGGAAGATTGAATACACCACAAACCCACCAATGTCATCTTTTTTGCTATCTCCTCTTCTTCAAAGGTGATTCCATTTCCTCTAGGCCTTCCACTGTCTCCCTCCGCAAGATCCGTATAGATCCATTCTGGAAAGTATACTGAGCTTGTGGTAGATGCATTGTCTTCAGTTGATGGTTCGGCTCTTGCTCCTATCATTTCAAGAACCAACATTCCATAGCTATACACATCTGACTTGTGGGAGACTTTACCATACACTCTTGAAAACACTTCGGGTGCAATGTACCCTATTGTACCTCTTGTGTCTAGCAACGACAACATGCTTTCTTTCCTCCCACAAAGCTTAGCAAGGCCAAAGTCTGACATTTTGGGGCAAAGATTGTGATCCAAGAGTACATTCTGCGGTTTTATGTCGAAATGTACAATCCTTGTTCTGCATCCATGGTGCAAGTACTCTAGTCCACGAGCAATGCCTAATGCAATTCCATATAGCATCATCCAGTCTTTATTTGATGACTTTGTGCTTGAGATGAAGTTATCAAGAGATCCATTCTCTAGAAATTCGTAAAGAATGGCTCTCTTGGTACCTTCAGCACAGAATCCTAGCAGGGTAACAATGTTGACATGAGATGTTTTGCTCATGCTCGCAACTTCATTGATGAAGTCTTCACCATTACCCTTTGTGTCTTTCAAGACCTTCACCGCCACACTACGACCATCACAAAGGGTTCCTCTGTAGACAGTTCCAAATCCGCCTTTCCCGACAACTATGGCGAACGACTTTGTGATTCTCTTTACCTGAGCATAGCTATAGTGTTTCAGCGGAATAAGGGCCTTTAGATTAAGTTGGCTAGGAACATCTAATGTTTTCCTTCTCCGGCTGATAACACAGTACAAACCTCCGGCTATAAGAATGATTGCCACCAACCCAAAAGCATACTCCATTCCTAGAGATTAAAACACAACACAAGAGTTTCATTAGAAGAGTATGTCATTGCCTTATAAGTCACTGTTTGAGAAATTGTTAGGCGGTAGTTAGACTTTATAGAGGATTATTGGTAGTTAGACTTTATAGAGGATTATTGACTAGTCAGGCGTTTAGACCAATTTTTGTTGTAAAAAAATATCATTTCGTTTAGACTCGATTTGCCGACTTTAGAACATCGGTATATGGTAATGAAATCGAGTGAACACCTGCTTTTGCGGAAGTAGATATGCCTGCATCAACAGGATGACAACAAGAAAAGATCAGCCAAAAATGCTGAGAGAACTAAAAACTTTAGTTATTTTTTGTTTTGTTTAATGGAGTGTAGGGAAGATTCAATCAAAAAGTGGTTCTTGTGAATAAACATTAGGACATGAGATATTACCTTTGTTTCTGCAGGTACGGCCATGAGGATGATCTACACAGTAGCAGAGAAAACTCTTTGAGCCATGTTTATATCCACAAGCTCCCCCAGAGTCCATGCACATCAAACATTCTTTGTGAAGTCCAACCTTGAAACCCTCTTCAAGAGCCTTCTTTAGATTATCTCGACTTGTATCCTTCTGCAGTGTGTCCAGCGCCGGTCCAGATGCAGGAATACTGACGTTTCTTTTACACATTCCACCCAAATCTTTCAAAGGAGACGAGAGGTTTGTTGTCACATAGTAACTTTTCTCATTAACGTCACAATCAAGATCTCCAACGTAAGAAGAAACATACTTTGGAAAGTCGGATGGGCATTCATTATAAATCGTCAGCATGTCGGTATCAGGCGCAAAGGGAAGGACGTTTTGGCTGAACGGCCCGTTTATTGGGTGTTGGGGACACAAACCACCGGAATAATCTGATCTTGCTAATCTTATGACACGTGATGTATAGTTTGCCGCTAAGATCCTGTACTTAACAGAGCATATGTTAATCTCTGCGACACTGCTGTGACAGTCGAGCTTGAAGTCAGGATGGCCACATTCTTCTCTTCCAGGTATCCAGAAAGGGTACAAGAGACCGCTCTGATTGCCGCAGCTAAAAGGGGGTAATGCAGCGTGTGTGAAGCTCATGATCTGAAAAAAAAACAAAAACAAAAGGATGGGATCACAAACAGCATCCATACGATTCTGTAATACATTGGTTGTATAAAAAATTACCACTTGGTTGATGGATTTCATGAGAGGATGAACATTCTTGACACAATTTCTCATCAATCTTCACCTTCACCTCAAATCCTTTACTCAAAACACTTTGAAATTTGGTCATGTTCAACTCTTTCTCTTCCGGAACAAAGCTCTTAGGAACGTTAATTGTGAAACATTCAGTGCAGGAGTTATGATAATCAATGGTTTGAGACACTGAGATAGGGCCTTTATTACCAGGACATGTATAACTTGAACGGTAAGGAAGCTTAGAGTTGCAGTGGTGGAAAACCGTGAGGCTCTTGTACATTGGCGAAAGCTCAAATATTTCGGTAGGCAATGTTGCATCTGTGAATGTACCGTTGCAGAAAGAATCTCGAAGGTCTGCTCTAGCAAGTCTAAGAGTGTTAGATGCTTCATCTATATGGAGAACCTCGTACAGATGGTCTGAGATGATTAGAGACGTTGTGTTTTTGAAGCAGTGAAGCTTGAGCGATGGATGACCACAACTTTTGGGACAGTTTCCCCCTAAGAAGGGGAAACCAGCGGTGATATTCCCACAGTGAAACATAGTCTCATACGAGATACGTTCTTGTTGACTTAGATCACAAGGAAGAAATAAGGAAAAGAGGAAAAAACAGAACAGACAAGAAGTGTGGAGACTGTACATGAAAAAGATTTGATCTACTGAAACGTGTTTCTTTGTCTTGAGAGGAAAAAAAAATTGGGAGAGGAGAAGGAGCAAATGAAAACGGTGAAGAAATGGATTTTTTTAGAATTAAAAATGAATATGAAATGAAACTAAAATACATTAAAAAACGATACCGAATGATCTAGTTATGTTTTCTTAGAAATCAGTATGAAGAACTAGGACGAGCTTTTGAATATTCACGTTGAGAGTTGAGAATACTGAAGGGCTTCGAGTGATTGTATATTAATATGGTTTCCTAATACTTTTATGTGCGAATGTTTGGTAAGCATGGCCGTGGGGAAAGGTTGTGAAGGACCAAGTCAATGAAGAGTAGTCACATATACAGAGTGGGCTTGGAAGTTTTATTTTCTTTTGTTAGTTGACCGTAGAAAAAATGGAATATGCTCGTGCCTGCAACATACTTTTCTTCTGTTTCCAGAAGATTGAGAGTTAACTCTAAACACTAAACGAAATATCCTTAAAAATGTGCAAAATAGTAAATGTAATTTTCTGTTTTCGTGATTTAATAAGATACAAGGAGGTTTCGTCCTTTTATGCGACATTTATGGAACATACTTCTGTATAACCTGATATATTCTCTGAAAGTGTAGAAGATTCTTGAAGAGGCTCTGCTGGAATTTGAAAAACAGGTCTAGGAGGAACTTCAAGAGCATCCACACTTCCTTCCATCATCTCCACTACTCTGTTCATCGGTGGACGATCTGATGGAGAAGACTGAATACACCACAAACCCACCAATGTCATCTTTCTCACCATCTCCTCTTCTTCACTACTGACTCCATTTTCCATATGACTCCCACTGCCTCTAATCTCAAGATCCTTATATATCCATTCAGGAAAGTACATTGAACTTGTGCTAGGACCAACTTCTTGTTTGTTCCTTGCCCCTATCATCTCAAGGACCAGCATTCCATAGCTATACACATCTGACTTGTGTGAGACTCTACCGTACATTCTTGAAAACAATTCAGGTGCAATGTACCCTATTGTACCTCTTGTGTCTAGCAGCGACAACATGCTTTCTTTCTTTCCACAAAGCTTAGCAAGACCAAAGTCTGACACCTTGGGGCAGAGATTGTCATCTAAGAGGACATTATGTGGTTTTATGTCGAAATGTACAATCCTTGTTCTGCATCCATGGTGCAAGTACTCTAAACCACGAGCAACACCTAAGGAAATCCCATATAAGTCCTTACAATCCATAATTGATGGTTTCTTGCTTGAGATGAGCTTATCCAGCGACCCATTTTCCAAAAATTCATAAAGTATTGCTCTCTTGGAACCTTCATAGCAGAATCCTAGCAGGGTGACAATGTTGATATGAGAAGTTTGGCTGATACTTGCAACTTCATTTATGAAATCTTCACCACTATAACCTTTTGCGTCTTTCAATACCTTCACTGCAACACTACGGCCATCAGAAAGGGTTCCTCTATAGACAGTACCAAACCCTCCTCTTCCAACCACTTCCGCGAATGACTTTGTAATTTTTTTTACTTGTGAGTAACTATACTGCTTTAGTGGAATAAGTGCTTTGAGTTTTGGCTGTGAAATAAATGCCTTTTTGTTTCTCTTTCGGATAAGTTGGAGAAACAATGCTAAAACCAGAAACAGAAACAGAATAACACCTGCTATTAAACCTGAAACAAGAAAATTTTTTGGTTAACAACTTTTTATTTGAAGATCTAATCAAGTAATCAGTCTTCATAACCCTTTGTGTTTTAAAAAATGGTAATGAAGAACAAGTGATTCTTGTGGGAAGAACATTATGCATGTACGCAGTAAATTTTACCCTTGGTTTTATAAGACTGGTGTTTCATGTGGTGAATGGTAATCAAATCAGGTGTTTTAACAAAAAAAAAGTAAAAGAGTATTTACGTACCTGCTATCACAGTTTAGATAGCTTTGAAAGAAAGTAACATGTTGTAAGAAGATGTTTTTTATCCTGAATTAATTTTACACTGAATTAAAAAAAATAATAATCTTTACCTGCTATTGCTCCAGTAGAAAGGTCTTCACCATGGAATGTCACCAGAAAAAAAAAAGTCAGTTCGATCTGAATACAGAACACTGAAAAAGAAAGTTAAAACTCAAAAGGTTATTGAGTGGTAGATTTGGGGAAGGGACAAACGGTGGTGCTTACCTTTTTTTCTCGTACGGTTATTGGCTTCTTCTATATTATAGCAGATGAATCCACTTGAGCTCTTATTATATCCACAAGCACCCATAACGTCTGTGCACGTCGAACAATCTTGGTTAAGTCCAAGCACAAAACCTTGTTCAAGAGTCTTCTTTAGATTATCTGTACTTGAATTCAACTGTAGCCTGTTCAGCGCGGGGCCAGATGCAGGTATACTGACATTTCTATCGCAATATACCCTGAAGTCATTTAAAAAGCTACTAATCCCTTCAAATAGAGGGGACGAGAGGTTTCTCGTCACATAATAATTTATTCTTTCATCATCATAATCATCATCATTATCACAAGCAAGCTCTCCAACATAAGTAGAAACATACTGTGAAAAGTCTTGGCGGCAGTCGTAATAAATTGTTAGAAGCTCGGTGGTAGGAACAAGTGGAAGGACTTTTTGGTCAAATGGCGCATTTGAAGGATCTTTAGGACAAAGACCACCGATAAAATCCGATCTCGCCAGTCTTATGAAACGAGAGTTATAGTTCGCCTCTAAGATTCTAAACTTCACGGAGGAGATACTTAGCTCTGCGAATCCACCACTACAGTTAAGCTTGAACTCAGGGTGGCCACAGTCTTCTCTGCCAGATGTCCAGAAAGGGTACAATAGACCGCTTTGATCGCCGCACCTAAAGGGTTGACTGCAGCGATCATGAAGCTCATTAGTTGAGAAAACACAAGAAGGTATAGCAAACAGCATACATATGATTATATAGAACATGGATTTTGTCTTGGATATATTAAGATTGATCATTATGTTGGAGATCAATACGAAAATGGTGAATGGGTTTGGTTCTGTAAGAGTTTGACTAGATGAACTTAATTAAGTTTGCACTCTTTGATAAACCTTCTTTTTAATTTTATTTTGTACAACGACTTCAAAGTAATATGGTTTGACATTTCGGAAACCTAATTAAAGAATATGGCAGAGACAAAGACCATTGCAGAGGCCCTTTCCCATATTCTTCCTTTGTTTTTTCTTTTTGATCAAACTCTTCCTTTGGTTTTAGTTTTTGAAAATCTAAAGATATTATATAAAATTAGTTTGAAAAATTTTATAGTACACTAATTGCTAACTTAATGCCAATTAGCTGGAGACAGAAGAATATTTCAAACAGTTTAACATTATATCTGAAGCATATTCTGTGAGCAGAAAAAAAAAACTGGAAGTTCAGAAGATGCATCTGGATCAGGAGGAGAAAACTTAACAAGGGGTGTGAGTTGATATTTCTGAATTCATATCAGTGAACTATATTGTATTTTTTCATGAAACCCAGCAAAGAGAAGTATGAAACTTCGTAGATAGCTGGAGGTGGACACTGGGACCTTGAACTGGATCCATATTTCATCACCAGACATCTGAAGAAATTTGTTGCGATAAAAAAGACTAGCAAGATGCCATTAGGCTGGAGAAGTCAGAAGAACAGTAATACGCATGAAAAAACATAGAAAGAAAAAAAGTATATAGTTCAATGTGTCAATCATGAATCAAAAATACGGTTCGACATTATTTATTTATGCTACATTCATGGATCATACTCTTCGGAAATCGAAATGTCATCTGAGAGTGTAGAGGATTCCGGAAGAGGCTCCGCTGGAATTTGCAAACTTGCAGGCCTAGGAGGGAATTCAAGAGCATTCAAGTTCCTTCCATCATCTCTATTACTCTATTCATCGATGGACGATTAGATGGCCAGGCCTGAATACACCACAAACCCACCATTGTCATCTTCTTTGCTATCTCTTCTTCTTCTTCGCTGTTGATACCATTTTCAAGAAGCCTTCCATTGTCTCCTCTCTCAAGATCCCTATATATCCATTCAGGAAAATACATTGAACTTGGGTTAGATGCAGTTGTCTCTTCAGTTGATGTTTTGGTCCTTGCTCCTATCATCTCAAGAACCAACATTCCGTAGCTATACACATCTGACTTGTGCGAGACTCGACCGTACACTCTTGAAAACACTTCGGGTGCAATGTATCCTATCGTTCCTCTTGTGTCCAGCAGCGACAACATGCTTTCCTTCCTCTCACAGAGCTTGGCAAGGCCAAAGTCTGAAACCTTGGAACACAGATCATTATCTAAGAGTACATTCTGCGGTTTTATGTCGAAATGTACAATCCTTGTCCTGCATCCATGGTGCAAGTACTCTAGACCACGAGCAACGCCTAACGCGATCTCATATAACACCTTCCAGTCCATATCTGACGACCTCTTGCTTGAGATGAACTTATCAAGAGACCCATTTTCCAAGAATTCATAAACAATGGCTCTCTTGGAACCTTCGGAGCAGAATCCTAATAGGGTAACAATGTTGACATGAGAAGTCTGGCTGATGCTTGCAACTTCATTGATGAAGTCTTCCCCATTACTCTTTGAGTCTTTTAAAATCTTCACTGCAACAATACGTCCATCAGAGAGGGTGCCTCTATAGACAGTTCCAAATCCTCCTTTCCCAACCATTTTGGCGAATGATTTTGTTATTCTCTTCACTTCTGCGAAACTATACTGCTTAAGTGGATTAAGAGTCTTGAGGTTTCGTTGACACAGATCATGTGATGGTTTTCTCTTTCTCTTTAGGAGACATAGTGTTAAGATAAGAAGCATAAACAGAGTCACACTTACTCCTAACCCTGAAACCAGAAAATTGTTATAAAAAAAAAAAGAACTTCTTTGGGATGGAGGTCAAAGATATTTATTCATAAACAAATCAGGTTTATTTACAGAATATTTTTGAGCACCTATTTTTGCTCCAGAGGAGAGTCCTGCATCAATTGAATGCACCAGAGATGAGTTGAAACTAAAGGATAACTTAGAATGAGAATGATTTTGGGAAAAGGAAAAGAAATCTTACCCTTGTTTCTTGAATTGCCAGTATGGTGGTTACACTGCCCATCACCACAATAGCAGGCGAACCTTCTTGTGATGTGATTATATCCACATGCACCGCCAGAGTCTGTGCACCTCGAACATTCTTGGTCAAGCCGAAGTTGGAAACCCTCTTCAAGAGCATTCTTTAGATTATCCAAAGTGATATTGTTTTGAAGTCTGTTCAGCGCGGGTCCAGATGCGGGAATGCTGACGTTTTGACTGCAACCTACTCTCAGGTCGAGTAAATTGTCTCTAATCCCGTGAAGTAGAGGGGAAGAGAGGTTTCTCGTTACATAGTAATTTACATCATTATAAGTATCCTCACAATCAAGTTTTCCAACATAAGTGGAAACATAATTTGAATTGCAACTTGTACTGCAAACTACAACGCAGTCGTAGTAAAATGTTAGCAGCTCGGTGTTAGAAGCAAAAGGAAGAACATCTTCAATGAATGACGTATTGAAAGAACCATAGATACAAGGACTGCCGATATAATCCGATCCGATCTGCATAGTTCACCTCTACGATTCTAAAATTTATGGAGGAAATGTTAAGCTCTGCGAATCCTCCGTTACAGTTGAGCTTGAAGTCAGGGTGGCCACATTCTTCTCTGCTAGGAATCCAGAAAGGGTACAAGAGACCTCCCTGATTGCCACAGAAAAATGGGGTACTGCAGAGTCTGTAAATCTCAGCAGCTGAGAAAACACAAGAAGGGGCAAAAAAAGAGCATTAATATGATTGTCCTCCCCTGTTTTATTCCCATGAAGGTCAACAGAAAATCAGGTATGAATGGTTGATTTATGAGAAACATACCAGTTCGTTGACGCTTTGGTTCGCACCTGACTCCTGAGGGTGAGTTTGTCTTGCAGCAAACTTGAACTGTACCATTGAAGCTGCATATTCCACCAGAAGAGGAACATTCTTGACAAGTTTTCTCATCAATCTTCACTTTCACCTCGAACCCTTCACTTATAGCTCTTCCGGGAATGGAACTCGTCGTAACTGTGAAACTATTATTGCAGTATGACACACCATACTCAGGTTCGTCAGGCAGTAACACAAGACCCTTATCAGGAGAACATGTAATATCCCCTTTAACATATTCAGGATCACATAGGTAATAAACTCCGAAGTCCTTGTAGTCTGGCAAAATCTCGAAGATATCGGAAGGCAAGGCTGTGGTTTTAAATTTAGCAGAACAAAGAGGCCCTAGCAGGTCTGCTCTGACAAGTTTAACGGTGTAAGATGATTGACCACCTACTTTGAGAACAGAGTACTCTTGATCTGAGATGATTAAATAGGTACTGCTTTTATTGCGGCAGTGAAGCTCCAGCAACGGAAGACCACAGTGTTGAGGACGATTTCCACCCCAAAAGGGGAAACCAGCTGTGATTTGCCCACACTGAAATGGAGCTTCACACCCCCCAAGTCCTTGCTTACTTGATGTGCAAGGAAGATGGTACAGTAAAGAGAAGAGGACGAAAATGGCCAGATATGAACTGAATTCTGAGAATCTGATGAGCGCTGGAGATTTCATAACTAATTTCAGAAGAGTTTGTCTTCTCGGTTTGGTTTTGTTTGTGTTAACAGGACGAGAGGAAGTTGTAAAAAAAAAAATAGAGAACAATAAACCTTTAAGGATACCTATAGGACTGGTGGTGAGGCAGAACAACATTGAAAGAGGAAGAAGGTCATTCTAAGTACATTGTTTAGAATCTTTACATCACTTAAAGCCAACTTCCAAGAATTTTCTCGGAAACTTCATAAATTTAATCCTCAGTGCGAATGAGAGGGACTTGTGTGGCTATGCCACAGCTAATGCTGTCTCTGATTTTGTTGACCAAAGAGTACTGAGGAGACTTGAAAAATCAACAGTTTGATTAGTTTTTTTTTTTTTAAGAGTGATTTAGGTTGAATATACATGAAATTTAACGATTAGGTGATCGCTATAGGTGTTTTGTGTATATTACGCATGAATCCTAGGGTGTCAATCGGGGGCTGACTCGGCCCGGTCTGACCCAACCCGAAAAATTCATTGTTATTTCAGTTTGGTCCGGCTCGATCTGCAAAAGTTTTGGACCTATCTTTCAAAGTCCGGTCCGGCTCTAAAAGGAATTTTTGAGCTTTTCAGACTTCAAATATATATAGAAAAATTGAATATACTAATCTATTATATAAAACAAAGCATCACTCCCTCTAAGGCTGTCCACATCAGCGTCAGCGTGGAAAGGCCATGTCAGCATTTCGTCCACGTAGACAAGATTCGAAATGGGCCTTTGTGTTTTATTTCCCTTATTGTTGGACTTCATGGCCCGATAGCCCATACATGATAGACGTTAGGGTCGTCCCTCCTCTATGTTCGCCGCGACTTCTGATCTTCGCCTGTTTCTCTGAAACGCTTCCAAGTTGGTTCTTCATCATGTTTAGTTCTTTACTAACCAAGCACCCACGATCTAGACTTGAATGTGATCTCTCCCCGGCGAGGCGGTCTAATCAAGAGTATAAATAGGTAAGTATTCCTCCTCTCGAAACCATCTACTCTAGAACCAATCATCACGGTCAATAATTGATCTAACTTACGTTTCCTACAGGGATCGACAACTGAAACTTTCAAAAACCACCATCTGTTTTTTGAGTTATGAATCAGAGCCAGCTGAGAAGCCCAGGAGATGAGGCATTAAGAAGCAACAGAGCATTTAAAAAAGGGGGAAACTTTTTTACCTGATGGAGAAGTGACAAACAGAGAGTCTCATCAAGGACTTAAGCCCAGAGATCTCGCTCAAAAGGGTCAAAGCAGAACATCGTTTCGGGACTTTAGTAAGCTCGAGCTCCTTCAAAGCCTTAAGCTTTCCCCACTGATTAAAGATGTTCCCTCTGATTATTTGTTTTGTGTTATAAATATGTTTATTCACAGAAAGCCGTGATTGTTTTGGTGTATATTCAGCAGAGATTGACGCAAAACTTGCCAACAAAGTCTTGATTGCAAAAAAAGAAAAGCATAGAGAAAGGAACTGAAGGCTTTCGTAGAGATCTCTTGCACAACTTATCAACCATTTAGGTTCTGAGGAAAGCTTATTGTTTACTCATTGATTCATCTATTGAACAACACATTGCTTCCTCTATGCCTTTTCCTGCTGCAAAGGTTTTTGTTTTTTGGTATCTATATTTTAACTTACAAAATCATTTTTTTTTTGTCTTTGCAGACTCAGAATAAGCACAAGTATAATGGGGGAATCCGAAGAAACCATAAAAAGAAGGATGAGGAAGATAGAAAAAAAGACATGGAGAAATCAAAGAACTGACTTTTGATAAAAGGTAAAAACGCTTCATGTATTTGTTTCAGAATTTAAAGGTTCAGACTGTTGCAGCATTTTCCTACCATTAAATAGTCACTGCTTATCATCACATTGTATGAAGTCTACTGTGCACGGTGTTATGTCAGATGATGTTGCTCGATTTTGGGATCCTACTCACCACTACTCAGTTTTGGGCTAGCATGGCTGATCTCAGCCGAAAATATTGGAAAAGGTAAATACGTTTTATTTCTTCATTGAAATGAATGTCTCTCTACTTTTATTAGTTGTTGTATACTTTGACGAATTAGAAGCTAGATTTTGATGTGTAGTTTTCCCCCGAATTCAAAACATCAACAAACTACCTTTGTCTAAATATAAAAAGTCTTTACAGCAAGTAGGTCCAATCATATTTACTAATATATAAGCCCATATGTAGAAAAAGCATAGGAGGACGGATTTGGGAGAGATGAAACTTCTTAAGAAGTAGAGTTTGATCTGGTGAAGGAGGATAATGAGTTGATGAACTCTATGCAGTCTTCTATAGCCTCTGATCTATGACTGTCATTGCTTATTGGCATGATCACGGCTGAGATCTCCCTGAGGAAGAAGAGAAACCTTCGAAGCTGGAGATTTTCTCTTCTTCCTCATCACCACAAGACGCAAACTTTTTGCAAATTTACAGCCAAGATGCTTGATCAATCTTGCTGCTGTGGCTTCTGTTTTCCTTGGTAGCCTGAATCCGCAGCTTGTTGTGCATCCTGGGTTCTTACTACTATTAGGCCCCTTGGTTGAGGCATCTATCTGAACCGGTGTAGTCTTTGTGCTTATTGGTTCTGTTCCAGTAGCTGACATAACAAGAGAGTGTAAGAGACAAGGAAACACATACATGGATACTAAGAGATATATAAGGGCATGAAGCTGAAAAAAAAAATGTGCTAATAGTTCAGGCAAAGACGGGAAAAAGACATGATTAGATGTATTCTTAACATCATTACACTTAGGCCATGATTAAGCACTCGAGACATAAACAATTTGTAAAAGTGTAACTTTCTGGTCCTATAATACAAAGAACTGTAGTTAAAGTGGATCTACAGAGTTTATAAAGAGAGCTATGTGCAAGAGGTAAAAGAGAAGACTAGATTTAGTTTAATTATTTCATTCTATGTTTACGGTCAAATATATAATAGATAGTATTCTTTCTAGACTTTAATCTTCTTCTCTGAATACTCTTCTACTCAAGTCATTAGAAAATTATCAGTTAAGGCACTACGTTGGAAGAAATCATTTCAGTTGATAACACTTGGTACATCAATTGATAGAATATCTGCACACAGTAAGTTCAGCAACTTACGAACCATCGGATTCGTATATTGAATAAAAATGCACCTATTACGACTTACAAAAAAAAAAAAATCGATCCTACTTCCAAATGGTGTGGACACAACAGATATACTGGTTTTAAATCCTTTCCTAAAAACTTTATGTCCTAAAGACTTCTTCCTATCCAACTAATGCTGGTCGAAGGTTTATTTGCTTATGAAAGTTCTTTATGAACTTAACTAAAAAGGTATACTGGTTTTAAATCCTTTTCTAAAATCTTTGTGTAGCACCAAAATCTTCATATTATGATTTTACAGTAACTATTGGTTGAATCTACTTTTATAATATGGTAGTAGAATATAATAGATGATTAATTTCATAATAATATACTTTTACAAAATTATGTTCAAATTCATTGAATCGGAAAATTTAGTACACAATATATCCATTGAAAAATATAATACTATAAATAAAATAAGAATATCTCATTAAAATTACTAATAAAAAATATGGTAATTTTTAAGGAAATATTAAACTAATCATGTAGATAATAACACCAATGTAAGATCATTTTCAAAAGGGAATCAAATAAAAATAAAACAACAACTAAATATACTCTAAAAAAAATAATATTTATTTAATAATCTTGAGAAGTTTGGATGATATGAATTATTTGATTTTTTTAAAAAATGTGTATATTCTTAAATAATCAAAATTCGATTGTTGTGTTATTTAACTATCTTAAGAAACAAAATTTATCTACATCAACATATTTAAAGATGTATAAAAGCAAAGAAAAACCACAACGGATAAAATATTACATATATAAGAATGAAAATAAATCATAACTTATACATTCAAATTCAACTGCAATACAAATATTTTACTTACTTTTATAATAAAGGTATAACTAACATTAAAATGTAAAATAATTATATTAATGAAAAATAATTTTTAAGACATTTATTTTCAATAAAAACAACGAAAACAAATAGTAAAGATTAACATTATTTTAAGTTTAGAACAAACCAAATATTCTTATACGTATATTAACAGATTTAACTCCAATATCATATAAAACAAACCAACTTTAGAATTCTATACTTTCGCATGCAACACATCAATTTACGTCTCCAGTTATTACGAAATATTTTAAAAGCAATTGAAATAAATACAAAAAACATTAGCATTTATTTATTGGATCCTTAAAAGGTATGGATAAAAAGATTAAATCAAATAGAAACATATGCAAATTGCTTTTAAAAAATACTTATAAATACACTATTAGGCAAGAGTACGCTACATTAAAATCAGTATACAACTCATTGTGGATGCGATATTATTAAATCGAGAGGAAGATAACAAAACCAAAAAGAAATTGATCCAACAAAAGATTTGGCTACTTAAAAACGTTACATATGTTCATCAAGCTCATACAAAGCCACATTAACAAACTTAATAGCATAACATACGTTTGAACTTACATATCTAGCTAACAACGTGAAATCCACTATTTCTTTCAAATATCCCATAATGTAAAACAATCAATACAATATGAAACTAAACAATAACTAACGGAAAATTCTGTTACAATTTTGTCCAAATAAAATTATACATAATCCAAACCCCGCGCGTAGCGCGGGCCGATCCTAGTTAAGTTTAAAACCAAAATTAATTTAATCCCAAATATAGATAATCATCCATAAATCTATAAAATCCAAAACTAAAATAAAGATCTTACCTAATAAATCAAATAAACATTAATAGCAAATAGAAATAAAACAAAATTCTTCCAACTCTAGACAATAGAAATTGTAGGATCAAGAATAGGATTTTCATCAGCAACTTCCACATTCTCATAATCAACAAAAGATATATATCAATATAAAACAAAAATTTATAAATATTAATATGTTACATGAATTGCCGAGCATAAATCATTCTAACAAGTAAATATATAAATTAGTGCTTCAATATATCTTGGTAAAAGACAACTTTTAAATTTGTATAAGACATGTGCATCTATGATAAAATTAGACTTTTTACGCTACTGTATTTTTTAAAATTCTATATATGTTTAAAACATGATCACTAATTCTATATTTGTTTAAGAAATGAAGATCAATAGTACACAACTATATAAACTAAAATATAATTTGCGAGTTTGCGGGTCGACCCTAGTCCAAAACGAATTTTAGCCCAAAACAGTTAAATCCTAAAACAGGTAAGTCCGAAGGATCCAATTTTTTTGGCTTATAAAATCAAGCACAAATCCGCTAATTTATAAGGATGGGCGATCTAGACTGTGTTCTTTAGCCCTAACTGATATGTCTAATGAATCCTTAGCTCACCGTCTATTTCTTTACATATACCATATTTATAATATATTTAAACTCATAGTCAGTGACTCAGTAATAGTGTTCTGAAAATCGGTTCAGGTGCCTAGGCGCCCATCTAGTCGGCAAATTGGGTATGAACAAAACATTTTTTCAAATTGATTTAAAAAAAAAAAATTGGTTTACCTGTTCAAAAAATCAGCCTAGACACCTATTTAACTAATAATCCTGTACAAAACGCCTAATCACCACCTAATGCTTTTTAGAACATTGGTTAATATGGGATATGATATCTACCCAGAATCTCTTCTAAGCAACAAGCATTAAATGCTGAAATATTTATGTTGAATTTGTTGTCTCGATAAATGTTCTGTGCATCTCGTGTGTTTACATACATATATTATTTTCAAGATAAGTTTTCAGCCAAATCACTGAAGTTGAGCTTTCATAGCCAGCATCTAAGATTCCTAGTTGTAGTGGCGAGTTCGGGGGTCTTACAAGGAAAGAGATAAGGTACTTAATTATTATCCTAGCTGATGTCCAGATAAAACAATATAGGTTAAGCAAACACCAACAAAATATGTTCTTAACTACAGAGTTGGGCATCAAGTACTCAAAAATAGACTTGGGAATTGTTAATGGACCGAGTCTCGTGTTCCAGTTTCATGGGAAAATAGATTTTGAGCCGACGACAAACCAAAACTGTAGAAGCTTTAATTCGCCAGGAATTCATTGATAACTTCACAAACCTCTTTTTTATTGGAGATCTACTGTATCAGTATCTGGGAAAACTCTACTGTAGAACTTTGAGCAGCATAGAGCTCAATCAGAAAAACAACAGAAGATTTTTGGTTAAATGTACAGCATGAAGAGTTCTACGCGTAGCGAATATGACATGATCTGTTTTCTGATGTCAGCTTCAACAAGAACTGTAACCATTGACTATATCTCTTCCCCTGAACTGAATTTCTTTGGAAAATTGCAAGCCGTTTTGGACGTAACGGACCAGTCTCGTTTTCCAGTTTCTTGGGAAAGAAGATTGAGCCGACAACAAACCAAACCTATTTTGTTGCTATTTGCTTAATATTATTTGTTTTATCTTACAATGTACATATTATTCATGAATTATGTTCAGTTTCTATCTTGCTTTTTTAAATAACTTTTAAATAATCGTTCTCGGACCAAATTACTCAAACCTAAATTAAAAATACTCAAACTCGATCCGAAATATAAAAATATCTGAACGAAGTATATACTGCTATACCGAAATGCCAGAAAATTCAAAATATCGACCAAAATCCGAACTCCCAACGGGTATCCGGAGGCCATGGTAAGAGTATTATGAACGTCTTTGGTGCTTCCTGAACAAAAAAAGGTATTTTCTTTTTTTGATAAAAGGCCTAGTATTTTTCTTCCTACTTTGGTTGAGCACTTTTCTGAAAGCATATATACATCGGTTTCGACTCATGATATTGACTCGGATGGCAGGCAACAGACACAAAATCTCTATATGATGTGGAACACAAATGTCGATACTCTTCATCTCAACTTGTTTATAATTAAATAAAACATCAAAGTAGAGGAAAACGATCAGTACAGCTCACCAGAGATCGTTGCACCCGCAGATGCCTTTATTGAAGTGGTGATATCTCTTTCTATCTCGCTTAATCAGCTCTCTCCCAGTTATCTCCGACATAAACTTCAATGCATTGTGGCAATCAGGACAAATGCGAAAATTACTAATCACAGTGACTGGAGATCGAGGCTTCGAGTTAATAAGCTTCATAACAACCGCGACTTCTTCTTTGTAACCAAAAATCCATTCTTCCTTATTCTCCTTCTCCACGCGTTCATTACGAAGAGCATAATACGTGCTAGGCACATAACCCATTTCTAGCATTTGTAACCGCAGACTCTTTAGTGTCTCCGGTCTCGTAAATCATATCCTTTTCTGGATATGAAATATCTTTTCTTCTATTATATTTATACTTCACATTTGCTACTACAAGACCTGCACTTGACATTTTGTCCAATCTTGTGGCATCTAAATTCTCAACCAACTCAGCACATCTATCTCCAAGCTCCACATCTCCATGAACCCTAGAGAAATTCATTACACTACAAGAAAAAGTCATCCATGCCGAGGGCCATGTTTGTCGGAACGTCATCGAAGTAAGGTGTATCCGACTGTTTGCCGAGAAACCAAAATTGGTCGGCGTTTGGGCGTCGGAAAAAGACGTATGTCGGATAGCTGTCGGTAACTACCGATGCCTTGTATTCTCGGAGAACTCGTGGGAAACATTTATCGCTAATTACCGAGACAGAGCCGATAAAATACGATGATACAAAAGACGTCGGAATCTGATCAGAAATTTAAATAATATTATATACAGGATAAAACAAAAAATATATTTATACACATACACATACATATATGTGTACCATATCCATACACATACATACATGTGTATCATCTCCATCACAATAGAAAACCATCGTAAGGAAAAGCTTCATGAATAACATACATGTGTACATCCTTTTTATTAAAAAAAAATGCATAAAAAGACATGAGAACCACCGTACAATTAGGAGCCAAGCCAAAAGTTTCACCGGAAAAGAAAAATGTTGCAAAACTAGTCACAAACCCTGAAAGATCTAACTAAGAGTCTCTAGGCACAAATCTGCGGATAGAACGAGTTTCAGAGTCCCTGCCGAAGACAAAACCAGAACACCGGAGTATCTGAGAGACTTCACCCGCCGTCAAGCCATCAGAGCACTTGCTTCATGTGTCACCTTGACCTCGGTAGCCAAGCCACATCGTTGCAGAGAAAACAGAGCCTCCCTCAACTCGCCGCCTCCACTAAAGTACAACAATACTCATTAGCATAGATTAAATATGCAAAACAAAACTGGATCTAGATCTAGATCTAAAAACAGAGACATTGTCGTGGTCATCACCGTCGTTCCAAACCGTCATCATCAGCTTTGTAGTTTGCTTGGAAGAGAAGAAACGTGAAGAGGTTCTCCATTGTTTCATCACCACCAATCATCACCACCATTGCCATGAGTTGTATACAGTCAAAGGTAGAGGGAGAGATGTGATAATGGGAACGATAAAAAGAAATCATAACCCCTAGATATAAAGTTATAATTTCTGAGAAATTGGCGAGAATCATTTGTAGGTATCTCATCGGTAACACAATTATCGGCATCTCATCGGTAATACAATTGTCGCTATCTCATCGGTAATACAATTGTCGGTATCTCATCGGACTACTCCGACAATTTTCTGTCTATTTGTCCGATGATCTACTGAGAAGAGAATCAATCGTCGGAAAATTAATTGTTCCGAGAAATTTCTGATAAAACCATCTGAGGATCTTCCGACAAAACTCATCCCTTGGAAAATTTTGTATTTCCGACAAGATACCTACACTAGTTTTCCGAGGAAACACCAAGAGAATTGATTCAACGGAAAATTCCGTTAGCATCCCGACAAATTTCTTGTGTTCTCGGAAATTGCTCACGAAGCCGTCTCAATTTTTCTGACTAACAGATTTCTCGGAAAATGTCATCGGTATGGAGGATGTTTTCTTGTAGTGTTAGCGTTTCCCACACGTCAACACTTGGCTCCACTGGCATTTTCTCAATAAAGCTAAGTGCCTCCTCCAAGTGACCAGAAGCTGCCAGCATTTTGGTAACACTATTATAATGTTCCATCGAAGGTTTGATTCCATAGTCTCTTTGCATGGCTTGAAATTGAAGCGATCCCTTTTTGACATCACCGGTCAAAGCATAAGCAGAGAAGAGTTCTTTGAATATCTCTCCATCTGGTTTGTTCCCTTCTTGTTTGAAACGAGTAAACAAACTGATAGCTTCTTCACCGTAACCGTTTCTGACTAAACACTTCATCATAACACACCAAGTATCAGTATTCTTCTCAGACATCTCGTAAAACACTTTGACTGCGTAAACAACAGATCCGCAACGAGAATACATCTCGATTATGGCGTTGTGAGAGGTAACATCAGGAGGATGAGACAGAGAAACGATACGCTCATGAACAAACTTTGCTTCTTGCATAACTTCTGGTCTATCACATAGTTTCGCTAACCTTAAAAGTCTAATAAGATCAATAGCGTGACCATGGTTCTGTAAGTAGTCTAAAACCTCTATAGCTTCTCTCAAATTTCCATGATTGCAAAATTCGTCGAATTTCTGAATAGAAATATCATGACTAGTAATTGAAGAAACTGTTCTGTTTTGTCTTACGATTGGATTTTGTGTACATGTGTGCCACGAGGTAACGTGTGGCTCAAGCCGAGTGATAACCTTCGTGATGCCATTACTTATCGGGTTATGATGATGATTATGATGATGCGATAGGGCTTCACGTGAACTGAACCAGCGGTTTCCTGTCTGCGTAGCCAAAGCTAGGTAGGGTTTCGAAAGTTTGAGTTTACCGCACCATAATAGCACCGTTACGCTGGTCAAAGACTTTTTTGCAAGCAAAAATTGTCAAAGCTGAAATAACCTAAATATGAATTTGGCATTACGATACGCTGATATTATATTTCCAAAATTTTCATTCAGAAAAAGATATTATATTCACCAAAATTGGCTATAATTGCCTAATTGGCTATTAACCATTTTACTTCTATTTATCTTTTGCGTGAGCTCCAAGATGGATATTAAACCATCTTATTTATTACGATCTGTGGCCAACGACATCATAACTGGCTGTATTCGATTTTAGTCTATGACGTAGAATCAACCACACCATTGATCCGAATTCATCACATATTGATAGAGCGTAGATTTGGTATAACTATTTAGTATTTTATATAAATAGTCTCATTTGAGTTTTTTTGGTTTTGGCAAAGATTACTAAATTTCAGTGAGGCAACGTTGCCTTGGAACGAATCCAAGAATTGGAAATCATATGAGCCTACAAAAAAAAAAAAAAAATTAACGCCAAAAGATAAGAGCATGCAAAAACGAAATGGACTTAACAAACCTGAATATATAATGGGTGAGAATAAAGATCCAACAAAAAAAAAGAGAATAAAGATCCACCTCGGAGAAATATACTGAGTCGATCTAAATAGTACAACAGTGTTATATAATTTTCAACAATCGTTGAGAAGAATCATTCCATAAATATTTTTAGTCCAAATTTTAGGTGCCAATATCAACTATAAACTTTCGTGTAGTAATAAATCGAAAACTAGAGAGGAAAATGTATATGCAATTCATATAGTAAACTCATGAGTTTCAAGGTAGAGGAGAGAACCCATAAGCATATAAGTTCAAATTTCAAACTAAAGAACTTTAGTAACGTCTTTTTCAAAGATGGGTAATCCAACCAGTCTGAGTCCAACCCTTCAATTATAGGTATTTGTACATGGATTTAAATGTAACTTGGTATACGTCTTGATTATCACCATGAACATCAAATAAGTATTACATGCATGTACATTACATATTTACATGTAAAGTTGGTCCTGCGATTTTGAGACTAAAAGCAAAGAAAAAGTTGATAACTAAAAATCTTCACTTTTGAAACTCCGCCACTACACTAAAGACACTTTTGGCATGGCCTAAAGGGAAGTTCTGAATACATGTTATGAGTTCGAGCAGAGAAGTGGATCATATGTCTGAGTACCTGCCGTCAGAAAAAAATTCAAAAAAAGTTCAAAGATAGACGGCAGTATAGAAAAAGAGGCTTGTCGAACGAAAAGTGGACATAATGAATAACTAGAGTTATTAAGTGTTTCTCTCGAATGTTAACGTCTTTCTTCTCTACTTAGATCCCTTTAGCGAAGTAGACATAAACAAAATTTATATTTGAAAATAAAAGGAACCAAATATTGAGGCAAAATCTTGGTAAAGTGAAGATTAGGTAAGAGGCTCACTGCAAGAAGCCAAATACAACATTGCAACGTAACAGGTTCTGATTATTTAACAAAAGTGGAAGTTGAGAACTTAAGATATTACTCATATTTTTCGAAAAAAATATATACACAGAGAGAGATTTACAAGTCTTCTAATTCAAAGTGCCTCACTTGGCCAGAGCATGTTTATGTGTAAGAATAACTCATAAGAGCATGATTAATCCGGGGTTCTTACGGTAGAGTTCTTAACGGAAGTTAAGAAACAGTTTCTTAACTTTTAACTAAAAACGCTAAGAACCGATTTTTAAATATGGACTTTAAGAACCGGTTCTTAGCATTTTTAGTTAAAAGTTAAGAAACAGTTTTTTATCTTTCGCTAAGAATCCAAACCTAAGAACCTCGGATTAATCATGGTCTTAAGATGTCTCTTTATGGTAACTTCTCTAAAAAGAGAGGGGTTTTTCCCTATTGCATAATTACATATCCGTTTGGATAGTTTGTGTGTGACCTGCGTCTAACTGAAAATGTGGCGTTTGTAATTGTAAGTGGGTACGGAAGAACTGATCAAATGGATGGTAATATGCTGCAGCTATAAAAAAAAGGAAAAAAACATGAAAAGATAAGAAAACAAAAAGAAAAGAAGGCAGTTCAGGTAAATCAATCAATTGTATTGTAGGTGTAAAGGAAAATAATGATTTAGGTTAATTCAATTGTCAAACAAACACAAACTCGCAAAGTGTGAAGAAGACAAGATGGTGACAAGTTAAGTTTCCAAATATCTTAAAAGCAAAGGTCATGCATGAGTTCAGGGGGGTAAGGAAGTATAGGTTTAGTTAATAAATTAGCTATTTAATTAAATTTAAATGGTTAATCAATATAAAGTAAACTTAGCCTTTTAAAAGGTTAAATGATCAAATCAGGGTTGTAGTTAGTAAGATTCGGGAAGATCTTGCCATGTCTAAACAAATACTTAATTTCAACGTCAATCACGCCAACACTTTATACTTGATGTTAATCTATTGACATTAAAGTATTTTTAGTGGGACCTCAATTATAACCTGATTAATCATACATAATGCATAGATCAATATATTAAGAAGGCAGATCAAAGATCTATTCAATAAATTTGTTATCTTGTAATTATTTCATCAATGTTAAGAAAACAAATAGTAAACAAACTTCCTTTATGTCCTATCAACTAATTGAACGGTTCAAACCCGTGACATGGTTGAAAATGATAAGATTAGGAATATGCTTATATATACTATACTAATTAAAATATATATAAAATCAATGCTTTACGAGGTGTGTACGTAGACCTGCATAGTCTTTATATTATACACATATCGTATGGCATTACATATGTGATAGACAAGTTTTATCAATTATGTACGTGTATGTATCAAAAGCATAGAAGATGGAAAAATAGAGAATCAAACCAATTAAAAACGATTGTAAAATATTTGGAAACATGTCATAAGCACTGCATAACAAAGTGAGTGGACCAACCTAGACTCCATAATTATTTTCAATTGTGATTAAAATATAAATAATCAAATCTTAATTATAAATATATGCACATGCAAACTCAGGGTTGATCCCATTTTGAGTCTTTATTCTCCTCTTTCCATTTACAAAAAGACTTGTAAGTCTCTCTCTCTCTCTTTGTCTCCCCCTCTTTTTAGCTGTACAATACATACATATATGGCCACCGAGACAACCTCTTTGAAACTCTTTGGCATAAACCTTCTTGAAACAACCTCGGATCCAGATCAAACACCCGAACCAAGATCCGAACCAGGATCCGAATCACGGAAGTACGAGTGTCAATACTGTTGCAGGGAGTTTGCAAATTCACAAGCTCTTGGTGGTCACCAAAACGCTCACAAGAAAGAGCGTCAGCTTCTTAAACGTGCACAGATGTTAGCCTCTCGTGGTCTGCCACGTCATAACAACTATCACCCTCACGCGAATCCTCTTCTCTCCGCCTTCGCGCCGCCGCATATGATGATCTCTCCTTCTTCCTCGACTTCTAAGTGGTTATACGGTGAGCACGTGTCGTCGCAAAAAGCTGTTGGTCCCATGTATTTTCACGGTGGTTACGAGAGAAGGGGGTTTTATGGTGGGGGGATGGAGACTATGGCCGGAGATATTAGGGCTCACGGTGGATCTTTGCCGGAGATGAGGAGGTTTGCCGGAGAGAATGATCGTAGTAGCGAAGTCAAGTTAGATAATGGTATTGGACTTAATCTCCATTTAAGTCTTGGGCCATGATTGATTTTTAAGTTGGCCCAATTAAAATCTGTAATATACTACTCGGATTTGATTATTATAGAGTAGGTTTTCTGTGGTGAATTTTTTTCCTTACTTTACCAAATATCATGTTCTATCATAGAACTTCTATGTGTGCGTTTGCTTTGACCTTTTTTATTCATCTTGTAAAAATGTTATGTGAATGCCTTATTATTCTGTTTTTTTATTCAGTTATACAGTTATTCGAAAATATATAGGATTATATTTTCACCAAGTCGATTTTAATTTTCAAATAGAAGCGCTGTTTTGCAGTGGAGATTTTTACTTCATAAAGTGCTTTTACCACTCTTCATGAATGTGTTAGGTTCCAAATAGCATGTGATCTATAGGTATGCTCTTTTGATTTGGAGGCTAGACATGTCCCAAGTAAACGATGGGGAATCCGGTTTTATTTGCTTTAAGCACATTACTAACCAAGTAATCAACCAATTTGAGAATTGATCAAACCTTCAAAGTTAAGAAAACAAAACCATATTAAATTTCCTTAATGAATAAAACTATTATTATCCTCATGTTTAGACAGTGTCGGTCTAACTCATTTAGCAGTCCTAAACAAACTTTTAACAACATATTTATACTTTTTCCCTAATAATGATATATATATATATATATATATATATATATATTTAACATAAAATATCACATTATTTTTTCAATATTTGTTAATATTTTCACCAATATTTTGATCCTAATCAATCATAATATATTAAAATCATTTGTTAATAAAAAATCTTACATTTAAACAATAATTCTTTACTTATATTTTATATAATTTTTACTTATTTTTATTTTTTTACTTATATTTTTATTAATTTTTACTTATATTGTATAGAATTTTATTAAAATTTATATGTAAACATAATTTATATTTATTTACTAACAATAATAATATTCGTAAAACATTAATGTTGTTTATATAATTTTTTATGAAGAAATATGTTATATGGATTGAGAAGCAACTTCACAAATTAAAGAAATATTAGTTGTAATGATATCAAAGAATATTAGATTTTGTTCAGTGGCTAAAAAACTAAACATATTTATAAATACTAATAAAAAAATTTAAAATATGAGTTGTTAATTTGCATGTCTAATCGGTGGATTAGAAAGCTGGTCCTGTGGGTGCCCAGTGCATATTTCGTCAAATGATATCCAATGACAATTGCACTTACAGTTAGGGTCATTAGAACTCCAGCTGAATTTTGTGAGACAACTCCCATTAGTTCTTAAATTTGGTTTTATTAGGTGTTTTGCTGTACTATATGCAGTGATAAAATTTTCAAATTAAACATAAACTATTTTTTGTTAATACTTTAAATTTTATTATTTTTATACCAATGTTTTACTATAAAGATTGTTTTAATTAAAGATAAAATTAAAATGAAATACATAATTTTATTTATTAAAACTTATATCGAAGAAGGGATATGTATATTTAAAATTATAAATTCATTTTATTTATTTTGGTTCATAAATATTAAATTAACTTGTATAAAATTATAAAAATTATATCTATATTTTTTTTATAATTATCTATATATGAAATTAAACATAATTTATAAAATTTGTAGATATTAAAAGAAAACAAATAATATTACAATTAGAAAATTATATTTAAAAAAAGATGTATAAATTTTTGATAAATTTTTTTAGTAATTAAAAATGTATAATTTTAAAAATATATTTAAATAATATTTCGAAATTTTAAACTACTTCATATATTATCTAAAGCCATATTGGAATAAATTTATTTTAATGATGTATAATTTACTACCATATTCTAAAAAAAAAGTACCAAAAATAGAAATCAGTATTCATTGTAGTTGTCCATATCACATTTTACATAAAACATGTCATCATTTATATTATATCATATCATCATTTTTGGTGAAATTAAATGTGGTGATGTCACATGTCAAATAATTTGACAAATAATGTATAAGAGATTTTTATTTTGGGGTTTTAGTTTCTAGTAAACAATTAAGTGTTTATTTGAAATTAAAACTCTATAAATTTTATAGCCAAGAAAAAAAATGTTGTAACAAGGACTGTTATTAGACTTTCATTAATTATTTACAAACTATAACGCTACTAACTACTACTCCCTCTGTTTCATTATAAGTGTCACTCTACAGCTGTGCACACGAATTAAGGAAACAATTAATTTTACATATTTCCTATATAAAAACACAGTTACCTATACACCTAACCATATTTTAACCAATAGAAAAACTAATTACATAATAAAATTAATAAATTTTGTATTGAAAACCGAAAACGACACTTATTTTGTAACGCAAAAAATTCTCTACAACGACACTTAATATGAAACGGAGGGAGTACAATATTACTTAAGAGCTAAAGAATATCTTAAGATCATCTTCATTTCCATTTTTCTACTCCTGATTTGATCCACAAAATGACAATCTTCATGGGCCTTGAAGATATATAAGCCCAGTCATAATATCTGTAATCGTTCGTAGTAACGTGATTATGATTCTATGAACCAAATGAGAAACACACGGAATATAATTCGTGCTTTACGAAATTAATGACTGTTTGTTTTTCTTAACTCTGAAATTAATGTCTGTTTGATCAAGGATCTATTTGGACCCACACAAAAATAAGACCGTTACAAAAGTAGAAAAGGGAAGGGTAAAAGCGTCCATACCTCAAAAAAATTCAAAGGAGGCTCTCTTCTCTATTCTCTCTCAATCAGACCGTTACGAACTAAACACAAAGAAACAAAACAATCTTTTGTGAAGAAGGAGACAAAAACAATCGAGATTTTTGATCACATAAGAGTAATGGAGGATACGATTTCAAACCCAAGCATGGAACCTCTCTTATTCCCCGTTGACGATCCAATGTCTCTCCTACTCTCTCAGAACAACAACAACAAAAATCTCTTCGGATTCATCAGAGGTCCCAGATACGTTGAATACGCGACGCTACGAGAATCAAAGCTTCGGTTAAAGCGAGAGTACGAGACGATACTAAAAGAAGAAGAAGAGAGGTTCCTCGGCTGCGGAGACAAGAATCAAACGAGGTTCGGTTTCACAAGAGAAGACAATAAAATTAGGGTTTCTCCAGAGAAAAAGACGAGATTTGGTTTTAAATATAACAACCCTAATCCGAGGAGAATGTCTTCTTCCTCGTCGTGTTCGTTGGCTCAGTCAGTTCCTGACTTCTCTGCAATGATTCGTAAAGAGAATCGCCGCCCGGTTAACTCGAATTTGCTTCCGAGGAGAACTGATCTCACTCCGCCTCCGAAAAGCAGAAACGGCGCCGTTTTTGGATCGGTTTGTTCCACTAGAGGGAGTATGAGTGCGGGAGGGGATAAGAAGAGGATGGGGATGTCGCGTAAGAGCTACGCTAACGTTGAAGATCTGAAGAAAGTAGCCAAGGCTGCTTCTTCTGCTATTAATGGCGGCGGTGGAGGAGGAGGAAGGAAATCAATAGGTGGTGGTGGTCGGACTATTCTAGGTTTCAGACAAATCTATTGATCACTCTTTGTCACACAACTTGATTGTGTTTTTTTTTTACGATTTGTTTTTTTTTTAGGTTTTTGGTTGATAATGATTGTTCTATCTTTTTTGTTCGTGATTTTGATTTGGTGATTGATAGATGTGTGATAAATCTTAGAGTTTTGCGTAGTTATTGAATTACAAAAACACTAATTTGGTTTGGTTTTAAAAGAGATCTATTGCTAACTCTTCGACCAAACACCAAAGGATCTCATAAGCAATCTCTGATCCAACTCCTAACGAATGGGTATCAATCTCCATCCATTTCTCCATCTCAATATCGATAAGTTCGTCCATATCAATCAGAGCCAATGCTGCCCACTTTGGAACTTCTTCAAGAACACCACGAATCAGCACGGAAGTTTCAGCACTTGATGAAGGTTTTGATATGCAGGAAATGTTTCTTTCTTCCAAGTGTTCGATCATGGCATCTACAAGGAACCCTCCGGTTACTCCAGTGAGGTTGACAAGGTGTTCAGAACGAGCTGCGTAAATCATGAGTTCGTCGAAGAGTTCTGGTCCGATGAGGTAGTTAGTAGAAGTAGTACCAAGGGACAGTTCGGTGTGGAGTATGACTTCTCTTGCGTTGGTGAATCTCTGATGTGTTGATATGAGACCTGTGTTGCTTAAATATCGCAGGACGTTAGAGACATGGCTGATAAGATTGGAGATGGCTTGATAGTTACCACTGCTTGTTGAGTTCTTGAACAAAGATGCCGAGTTTTCAAGAACGTCCCAGTCTGGTTCTATAGGCTCTAGAGGCACCCTCATCTGTCCTGGAACTACAAATATCATTACAACAGTTTAAGGTTTCAGATACAATAACTGATGTTTTTTTCTTTCAGAATTGAGGTACTGTGTGGATAATCTTGTGTACCTGAGATATTGTCGAAGCTATTTGAAAAGCAACTCTCGTTAGAGAAAGATGCATCTAGTACGGAGCCAGGGCTAGTGTAATCGCTGTTTGCATTTCCTATGGAACTCCACATCTCTATTTTGCCTTTCCTCTGCAAGAATCAAGAAAGCAAGTATGAATCAGAAGATGAGATATTTACAAAATGTGTAAAGAACTTTCAGATTATAAGCATACCCGAGAAGCTGTTCCTGCATTATAAGGCTGCTCGTGTGCTATTGAAGATAGCAACTCATGGAGAATCAAAGATGCTGGTTTATTGGGTAATGCACCTCCTCTTATGGCTTCATCTTCTTCTTGAGAAGCAAACTCTTTCATTTTTTGCTGAATCAAACCAACAGTACCAGCATCAAGTGTTGTTCTTAAGTCTCTTTCACCCATATCACATGGAACACCTTTTCTATCTTTGGTTTCTCTACAGTGTTGGCTATAGTTTTTATGAGGGGAACCATGTTTCAATGGAGAAAATGTGTTTTTATTAGTACAAGCACAAGAGCTTTCACATCCTGATCGTCTTGACACTGGACGCAGAGAGCTACTCCCTTGTCCTTGACCACTCACACAATCTAACCTTCTCTTCCGTGCAGGAGTGCTTAACCCTGATCTATGAAAAGCTTCCTCAACTCTAGTGTGAGAGTTTCTCAGCAGATGCAAATCAGAGTTAGCCGGTGCCTTGGGGTGATGATGATACCTGCTAGTTGAACCTCTATTCATGGCTATAAAGTCTTTCTCTTTACAGTTCATTGCATTAACAGGTGAGGAAGAACAACCTCTTTTGCCCTGTAAGGTGTAAGATTGAGCTACTGGAGGAAACCTTGCCTTCTGCAACATCATTTCATGCTTCCCACTGAACTCATACTGATCAGGATGTAGAGCCTTCTTCTGAATTTGATCAGTAAAGTCTCTGCCTCTACCAGGAACAAACATAGATGGTTCTTGATTTCTCCAAAAAACATTTCTTTTACTCCTTTCAAAAGGTGTTGATTCAGAAACACACGCCATGTTCATTCCAATCTCTTCAGCTACCGGACTAGAACCATGAACGTCAACAAAGCTACCACATGCTTTACAAGAAGCAACATTATGTTGAAACTCAGGTGAAACAACAACTTCTACAGCCTCTTTCCCAACACTATGGCGCCTTCTAACGCCTGTGGAGCCTGGATAAGGAATAGCGTATTTCGCATTTCTCTTTCCCGGTTCGAGAATCCTAGTAGCAGCATCAATCAACCTAGAGTTACGTCTATTATGAAGCCTGGGGCTTCTAACAGGAGACGCCAGTTTCTGATGATGGTTATTGTACTTTTGTTGCTTCCTAACTCGGGTCAAAACGTTCTTAATCTGCAATGGCTCTGACCCAAACTTCTTCACCATAACACGCCTATCACACACACTTGTTGTTGTTCTCTGCATCTTCTGTGGCCTAGACTTATCCAAACCAACATCTTCTTCCTCCTCCTCATCAAACCCACACTTATCATTGTCCTGCAGAACCTGGGGATAGGAAGGTTTCTTTTTCTTCCCTTTGTCTCTGTGGTTAGATGGTAATGAATCAAGTCCCATCAAACGTGCTACCAAACTAGGAGATCTCATCTCATGCTTTTTAAACTCCACAACTTCACCTCTATTTGGGAAACTTCCTCTGTTCTCATCATCAATCTTCATAAAGGACACACGTACACAACTTTAGGTTGTTGCTACTCAAATCAAACCAAAGATAATAAGCTTTATAAAAAGGGGGGCAAAGTATTCACCAGGTTAAGCTTAGATTTGAGCATTTTCTCATCCCTACCAAACCTCTTTGAAGCTTGTTTCCCTGACAAATATTCTCTTTCATTTTGAGACACTACCATAGAGAAAACTAAGTCAGACAGTGAAGAAGACTAACCAGGAAGAAGTGATTTGCGAGAAAAGAGCTTCTTTTTAGCGAAACGTTTGTTCCAGTCGAAGAGCTGGAAGAAAACACCCACGCAACCGCCTAGTCTATTTGGCCGTTTCTCAGTTAAGGCCGAACACGGCGCCGTTTTATCAACCGTCTCCTGCAACTCTCCCGTCATTACCAACGAAACCTTAACAACCGACAAAGCTCACAAAGATAGAAAACACAGATAAAACTGTCTTCTTTAGAGACACATTGCTTCAGAAGTCACCAGAGGAGATCCTTTCTCTTCAGACATAGTGAAAGAAAATCATGGCAGAATCTAAAATCAAGCTGAAGATAAAAGAAGAGGAGAAACAAAACTAATTTCTTTGAGTTCTGATTCTGTAAAAGAAAAGTGTATAAAAGTTATTTTTGGAGTGTTTTTACTGTTAGATTCTCTCTGCTCTGTCACTCTGGGAGTTGAAAGGGGCTCGAGAGAGATTATTACAGCCTTTTTTGTTATTATTTTACTTGCAGAAGAAGAAGAATAGAGAGAGAGTGAGCATGCGCGCAAAAGGTTAAGTAGCTGATTGAAGTAGTGCACTTGGTAAAAACTAGACTAGAGGAGAACATAAAAGAGATCATGAAGGGGTAAATAAAAGATTAAATTGCAGTTGTGAGAATCGAAGAACATGAAATTATGGTTGAGAGATCGAGGAGGGTTCTGTTTCTCGTTCTTGTCAAATCCACAGTTACATCCCTAGTCCATTTCTCAGTTCCAACTTCCAACTCAAGCTTTGGTTTCTGTTCCTAATGGTAGTCTGGTAGGTAAAACAATGCCTCTTTCTGTTTTCAATATTGCAATGTGAAGATAGAAAATCAACACTATTTTTTTTAAACTTTGATTATCAACACTGATTTTGATGTATAAATAAGAGTATCCCCTGACTATATAATGTTTAAAGAAATTTTTATGTTTCAAAATAAATGATGTTTTTATATTTTAATATACATTTGAATTTTATCAAAAACTGTGTAACTAATGATTTAACATAATCTATTTTGTAATTGGTTGAATAAATTTTAATAAATATTTTAATTTATATTTTTTTAGATAGATGCCAATTTTTTAATAGTTATGCATAACCTTAAAACATAAAATATTATAAACAGAGGGAGTATTTTGAAATGAAATTTTAATAAATTATTATAGTATGATGAAATTAAATATTAAAAGAATTCAGACAATTAAAAATAATAACTGTTTTTATAATTCTTCAAGAGTAAAACGTCTCGAGATTCTCTTTTTACAAAAATTTTCATTATAGTTTAAAATATTCTTTCAGAATATTCTATTACAGGTGTTCAAAGTGTACACAATAATCTGCATTTTGGGCTAAAGTATGGTCCAATGTTTACTGACTATTATCAACAACTAGTCCAACTTTTATATGTCTATATCCAAAGTTGCTGCCAGTTGGTGCTCCACTAATCAAGATTCAAGACTCAAGTGCTTTTTTTTTTTTTTTTTTGTCCGCCATCCATTTGGTTTAGATCAATTGGTAGACAGACGAATCGATTCTCCGAAGAGGACCTCCGTCTGGCCTGGTCTGATCTATATGGGAAAAAACAACTCATTTCCTTCTTGCTTCTTTGGCTAGTGCATCAGCTCGGCCATTCAAACCTCAAGTGCTTCATAACCTTCTTTTTTGGTAAATTGTTTTATATATTTTAGTTTCCATTTATCATGAAGATGTAATAGACTAATATATGAATCGATGTGCAGAAAGTATGAATTTTTTTCTTTTTGAAAATTTTACGTGTAATAAGTCAGGATAATCAGAGTTGTGTCTTTATCGGTGTCTGACGATTCTGAGACATGTCACGGACAAATAACCTATACACGCTAGGAATCTCTATCTAGCACATCCCTACACTTCTATTCAAATACAGTACCAATTATTTTTATACATTCAATGTACAAACTGTTTTGTTTAGCTATAAAATGATTTTTCTTAGCAACAAAACTGTTGAAACTCCCAAGTGAGACAATTTCTAAAGGAATCAAAAAAGAAGCGGTTTTAAATTTTGTCAAAATGATAAGATAATGAAACCATTCTTAGAGCACCCACATTGATGCAATTTTTAGGAGAATTCTCAAATAAAAAAATAATAAAAATGAAACTGTAGGAAATAGAATGAAGATTTTACCAAGTACGTTTCTTTAAGAATTGATTCTGATCCAACAGTGGAGATATCCTAAACTAACTGTCACTTTAACATTGAACAAATTATAATTGTCGCAATTAATTAGGAATAAAAAGAAGTAAAAATTACTAAAAACTGTCCCAAAAACAAAAAATTAATAAAAAAATGAAAATGTACACCTAACAGTGGAGATACTCTAAATTATCTGCCACTTTAACATTGAACAAGTCAACATTTATATTTACGTTTAGTTAGGGAAAAAAGTAAAAATTACTAAAATAGTATTCGGAGCAGTAACTGATTTGTGCTATAATAAAAAGTCATAAAATGAATCTAGATGAAAATGACTCTAATTTTTATTATAAAATTTATAACTTGAAGAAATTAGTAGTAGTGAGAAGAAATATTTTTTGAGAGTTTGTCCACTAATGTTGCTCTTACTATTTGAGAAAAGTATTATCTTGAACAACATGAAAAAAAACTTAAACTCTATAACTCCTGGTGCTTTATCTAGAATTTTGCCATTTAATTAAACATCAAGTTGTTGACCAAACAAAAAAAAGATTAGACATCAAGCTGAAAGTTAAATGATGGTGATTTCATTTTTTTAGGGAGCCAATATGTGTGATTTCGTTGATTATGGAACTGTTTGTTTGTGCATTTATTAGCTATTAAATTTAGATGATGCATCTAAACTCAATACCTAATTATTGTTTGTGTTCTAATTCTGTTTTTGCATCTAAGAGCATTTCTAAAATTACACTCCATTTTAGAGTTTGTGAAATTCTATATACGAAATTTGTAGGTGTTATATTCCAAAAATAAAATTTCAACTTAACTTTAAACATATTTGTGTTTTATACTATGATCCTTATATTTGTCATAACTAGTTCAAATTCATAGAACTTTTATAAATAACTAGCACATATATAAAAATTTAGTAGTATTAAATGATAAAATGTTACACTAAAATATGAAATTATTAAAGAAATATATAATTAAATATTAAACTATAAATAAGATTTCACATTAAGTCTTGTAATATTGTTGTTATCTAATTCTAATTTTAAATATTTTAAATCTTCTCTTGTTGTTTAAAAAAAATATGTGTAAATTTTAAATTTATAAAAAAGATGGAAATATTTATGAGAAAGAAATTTTAAGGGTAAAAATGATAAACCATATAATATATAAGAATTATAAATATAATATATAATTGTAAAGATCCAAATACAAATAAAAATATGAAACTTCAAATTTGAAGTTTTGAATAGTGACACTCTATATTTGAAGTTTCACTACTCAAAACTTCAGAATTGAAGATTTAGAATTTTTTTGTGGAAAACCAAAAACTTCATATTTGAAGTTATAATGTATCTTTTGGAAATGCTCTAAATATTAAATATTATATTCAGATGCTGGTTTATTAGTTTATGAGCTTGTAATAATATTTAGAAGTATTTCATAACAAGTAAGTAAAAAGATATGTACTTATGATAATTATATCATATTATAAATTGTTTTAGCTAAATACCTATTATTTTATAGATAATACTATTGCATTTAAAAAAAAATACAAGTTTACGATTTAACGATCTCAAATCTTTGTTGAATGAACATTCTTCTTGGGACCAACTATTTTGAGTAATTTACAAGCCTTTAACATACATTTAGACCACAAAAACAATATTATAAAATATGAGATTTTATTTCCACAAATATGTATAGGATTTTTTATAGAGATAGAACTAAGAAATTTTATAAACGAAAGTCTAAGATTTCATACTTTTAGGATCATACGTTGAAGTTGAAGAACAATTTCTCTAGACATAACTTTCAATTGTTGTAAATATTTAATAGATCAAATTTACTAACATTTGTAGACTAATTGTGAAATTGCTATTTCCACAATAATTTCATCACATAAATATTTTTCTCAAGTGCACATCTATGTTAATATCATGTTTTTATTTTTGTTTATTAAACTTTTCATTGGTGATATGATTTTTTTTATAAAATATAAGAGGAGTCAATGACTAAAAACTAAAAGTGCCAAAAGATGGGTCTTGTGGTAAAAGGACAATATGTGAGAGATTAATTGTTTCTTATTAGAAAAAATCTGATTTTTTTTATTAAATTTATCAAAATTTGGAGGACAAAAATTATTACATTGATTTTGTGAGAATCTTCAGATTTCGAGCAAGATAGAAAATCATACAACGGTCAGAAACAAAGACAGGGAAAAAGGAAAGTTCGTGAGACTTGGATACCAAGTAAATAAAAAAGTGTAGAGAAACAACGCAACAAAAACTCAATCATATCAGGAGTTGGTTTTAGATTCTCTCGCTCTCTCTTTATATAAGATCACATCTCTAACGATTTTCCCAATTTCTCTTCACCTTCGTTGCTTCCAAACCCTAAGTTTAGTCTTCGTTGCTTCCAAACCCTAAGTTTTGTCTTCGTTGCTTCCAAACCCTAAGTTTTGTTGTTAAGTCGAGAGAAAAAAGTCGAGAAAGAGAGAGAATGATGCAGAAACAAGAGTTCTTAGAACTGTTTGAGGCAGCAACTAAAGCGGCAAAGTCTGCTGCGAGAGGAGACGGTAAGAGTTCTTCTCCAGCGGTCTCTAGATGTGTCGACGCCATGGTTCGTTTGAAGGAAGCTCCCGAGTCTCTTGCTCGCGAGTTAGTCATCGATCTCAAATACCCTCAAATTGGAACGAGTCACAGCGTTCTCGTGGATCACAAAAACCCTAGAATCCAATCCGAGGCAAAGCTTCTTTACTTTCGTTGGTTAAGGTATCTCTATGCCTCGGGAAGGAAACAGAGCCGACCAGTGCTAAAGAAGAAGAATAAGAAGAAGCTTGTCGAGGAGGAGATGAAGATTTCGAAGACGACGGGGGATTGTAACCGAGACAAAGTGCGTGACATTCTTGCAAAAGCTTTGTCTAAAGTGGCTGTTGAGATGAAGGAAGGATTGGTTTCTTGCGATTCTTGGAGTGTGGCTGCCTCGGTTGAATCTGCAATGTTTGAGAAACTAGGTTCTTTTGAAGGGACTCAAAAAGCAAAGTACAGATCCATTCTTTTCAACATGGGAGACAGCAGAAATCCTGACCTGAGGAGGAAAGTACTACTCGGAGAGATCAGTGGAGAGAGGTTGGTGAGTATGGAGAAAGAAGAGATGGCTAGCAACAAGATTCAGATGGAAGTTCAAAATATCAAAGAGAAAGTCAGAGTTAGGGATGAGAATCGAGTCAAGAGCATGATGATGTTTCAATCAGACAGTACGATCATGATTTAGCAGAAATATATAGATTCCCACTAGTTTATTAACTGTGTAACAGTTATTCTCTTGTCTTGTTTGGTGTCAACGTAAACACTTTAAGATTCTGTGTTTAATTAGTAACCCTGTCTTGTATCATTGTTAAAAACCAACATATGTTCTCAGTCTTATAACATAATCTGATTCAATATCTGATCCCAATACCTTATGAGGTTCATGTGTTTTTTCCTTTTAACGACTCCCTTGGAAGAGAAGGTTTCCACCAAAAGTATATTGACAATTATATTACTAAATGTGTAAACAATTTTCCCACCTATTACGATTTAACGATCTCAATTCTTTGTTGAATGAACATTCTTCTTGGAACCAACAGTTTTGAGTAATTTACAAGCCTTTGACATACATTTATACCCAAAAAACAATATTATAAAATATGATATTTTATTTCCACAAATAATTAATTAATAATTTTTTCTAGAAAATAAAAGTAAGAATTTTATTTTAGTAAACGAAAGTCTAAGATTTCATACTTTTAGGATCATACGTTGAAGAACAATTTAATAGACATCACTTTCAATTGGTGTAGATATTTAGTATATCAGATTTACTAACATTTGTACACTAATTTTGAAATTGCTATTCCACAATAATTTCATCACATAAATATTTTTCTCAAGTGCACATGTATGTTATATCATGTTTTTATTTTTGTTTATTAGACTTTTCATTGGTAAATTGATTTTTCTTATAAAATATATGAGGAGTCAATGACTAAAAACTAAAAGTGCCAAAAGATGGGTCTTGTGGCAAAGGGACAATATGTGAGAGATTAATTGTTTCTTATTAGAAAAATTCTGATTTGTTTATTAAATTTATCAAAATTTGTAGGACAAAAATTTTTACATTGATTTTGTGAGAATCTTCAGATTTCGAACAAAATAGAAAATCTTACAACGGTCAGAAACAAAGACAAAGAAAAAGGAAAGTTCGTGAGACTTGGATACCAAGTAATAAATAAAAAGTGTAGAGAAACAACGCAACAAAAACTCAATCATATCAGGAGTTGGTTTTAGATTCTCTCGCTCTCTCTTTATATAAGATCACATCTCTAACTATTTTCCCAATTTCTCTTCACCTTCGTTGCTTCCAAACCCTAAGTTTTGTCTTCGTTGCTTCCAAACCCTAAGTTTTGTTGTTGAGTCGAGAGAAAAAAGTCGAGAAAGAGAGAGAATGATGCAGAAACAAGAGTTCTTAGAACTGTTTGAGGCAGCAACTAAAGCGGCAAAGTCTGCTGCGAGAGGAGACGGTAAGAGTTCTTCTCCAGCGGTCTCTAGATGTGTCGACGCCATGGTTCGTTTGAAGGAAGCTCCCGAGTCTCTTGCTCGCGAGTTGGTCATCGATCTCAAATACCCTCAAATTGGAGCGAGTCACAGCCTTCTCGTGGATCACAAAAACCCTAGAATCCAATCCGAGGCAAAGCTTCTTTACTCTCTTTGGCTAAGGTATCTTTACGCCACTGGCAAGAAACAGAGCCGACCAGTGCTTAAGAAGAAGAAGAAGAAGAAGCTTGTGGAGGAGGAGATGGTCTCGACGACAACGGGGGATTGTAACCGAGACAAAGTGCGTGAGATTCTTGCAAAAGCTTTGTCTAAAGTGGCTGTTGAGATGAAGGAAGGAGTGGTTTCTTGCGATTCTTGGAGTGTGGCTGCCTCTGTTGAATCTGCCATGTTTGAGAGATTAGGTTCTTTTGAAGGGACTCAAAAAGCAAAGTACAGATCGATTCTTTTCAACATGGGAGACAGCAGGAATCCAGACCTGAGGAGGAAAGTACTACTCGGAGAGATCAGTGGAGAGAGGTTGGTGAGTATGGAGAAAGAAGAGATGGCTAGCAACAAGATTCAGATGGAAGTTCAAAATATCAAAGAGAAAGCCAGAGTTAGGGATGAGAATCGAGTCAAGAGTATGCAGATGTTTCAATCAGACAGTAGTATGATCATGACTTAGCAGAAATATATATTAGATTCCCACCAATTTATTAACTTGTCTCGGTGGTCTGTGAATGTAAACACTCTAGCGGTTCATAAGTTTAATTTCTATCTTTCTTGTACTCTTGTTTCATTGTTATATACAAAAATATTGTTTAGTCCTAGTAATGGTATCTTGCCACTACTTAGAGTGCTCTTGTTGAATCCTAGAGAGACATATACTAATTTGGTCAATGCCTAATGAGGTTTCAGATTTTTGCTTTAAAATTTTGGAAGAGAAAGTTTCCAACAAAAGTAGACTAACAATAAATACCAAACACTCTGTAATTGGATTCCGCCAATTTTATACAAAGTTTCATCTCGTTGACAGTTAAAACTCGTAGGCAAGATTCAACTGAAGAAGATTGTGTTGCCTCATCTCTTGTTGTCTACTAGGTGGATGCTGTTGCTACAATCTTTAGTCAGGAAAACAGCATGTGCACAGACAGAACATGTCCCTTAGATTGACGCAAAAATTAGTGGGCATCTGCTGTAAGCATTTCTCTTAAAAAGACTCTTGGAAGATATCTTCATGTGCACATAACATTTCTCTTAGATTGGAAGCTATCTTTGTACGCAAATGAATCCACAACTACTTCTTCAAGACAAAAGTGTTTGAATATAGAAAGTTAACAAGGGTTTTGGAGAGATAATAACTCCTTACTCAGTTGAAAAAATAAGTTTTTGGAGAGATATAACTCCAAGTATTAGAGAATCAAGCTTTACGGTAAAAGATGATTCTTATATCTTAGTAAAGACAGAGCAATTACACAACTGGGACATAATATTTTATACTACGCAAATAGGTTGGTCGCAAAAATTACAACTTAGTATGAGACTCTCAATTGAGAAATAGCAAACACACAGAAGATAATAAATTGTTTGACAATTAGTCAACAACTATCCAGTTCTTGAAGCAAGAGAGACCTAAGAGAACATCATTGTTGGATAGTCAGAAGATTGCGTCTGATTGTATGGAATCCCCTGTTGTGTCTGCATAAACTGATGATCAAACTGCTGAAACATTGAGGTTTGAGTGTGCATCATAGGAGGAGGAATGGTAGAGATGGGAAGATCAAAGTTGTTGCAGCTTCTCATTCCTTGTTCCCCAAGTAATACATCCAAGTACTTAAGATCTTGATTAAAACGGAAACAGCGGTTGCTCAAAGCTAGGAGGAAGAGCAGAGGTGTTGGCCAATTGTGTGAAAGTGGCAGTGTCATGGTTAAACAACAAGATTGAGAAGTTGCTCGGACGATTCACCGAGGAGGAGGAAGAAGACGTAGTAGGTAGATCAGCTGGGCTCTCGATTGGTTGATATTGATCCACATTAATTAGAGACGGATTAGAACCTAGATACGTTGAAACAACTCCGTGATCTTGACCAGATTGAAGAAGTAATCGCTGAATATTTTCTCGGAATATCGTTAACTGAGTCTCCAAGGAATCCTCAATCACGAACACTTTCTTCTCGAATTTGTTGTCGTTTGCTTTGAGAGATGCTTTCTTCTCATCCACCATCTTCTTGTTAAGAAACAGAGAGAGGTTGGTGCTTTTCTTGTTTCTTTCTTGTTCGCTTAACCTGCTGAATCTCTCGGCCATGGCTTTAACCTGGGCTTCGTCGTTGTTCTCAGGCCACGTCTTCACGAGGTTGCCTTCACGGTCGTAGCAGATGATGCACAGATCGATACCGCATAACTCCGAGAGCTCGAATGCTTTCTTGAGAAGAGTCTTGGCTCGTGACTCGTATAAAGAAGAAGAAGAAGGTTTCTTGAATAATGTATCTTTTCTCACTGATAATTTGGACTTCTTTGTCGTCGTCGTCGTCATTGTGCACGAAACTTTCTCACTTCTCAGGAGATTATTTTTGTTTACTAGAAAAGAAAATAAGATTTTGTAAGTAATTAAGTATCTTCAGATATCTAGCAAAAAGTAATAATCCTATAACGGTCAAAAAACAACGAGAAACTTCGGGGAGGCTTAGATAGCAAGTAATTATAAAAAGTGTGGAGAAACAACGCAACCAAAAAACATATCGATTACTCTCTATCTATATATAAGATCACACACTCTCTAATAATAATACTTTCCAATTACGCTTCACTTTGTCGTTGCTTCCAAACCCTAATTTTTTTTTTTGTTTGTTGAGTCTGAGAAAAAAGAGAGAGAATGATGCAGAAGCAAGAGTTCTTAGAACTGTTTGAGGCAGCGATTTTAGCCGCAAAAACTGCTGCGAGAGGAGGAGACGGTAAGAATAATAAGAATTCTCCTTCTCCGGCTGTCTCGAGGTGTGTCGACGCAATGATTCGTTTGAGAGAAGCTCCAGAGTCCCTTGCGTGCGAGTTGGTCATCGATCGCAGATACCCTCAGATTGGAAAAAGTCACGGACTTTTCATGGAACATAAAAACCCTAGAATCCAGTCCGAGGCAAAGGTTCTTTACTCTCTTTGGCTAAAGTATCTCTACGCCACCGGCAAGAAACAAAACCCACGACCTCGTGATCAAGGTCAAAGTAGACCAGTGGTGAATAAGAAGAAGAAGCTTGTCGAGGAGGAGATGATCTCGACGACAACGGGGGATTGTAACCGAGACAAAGTGCGTGAGATTCTTGCAAAAGCTTTGTCTAAAGTGGCTGTTGAGATGAAGGAAGGAGTGGTTTCTTGCGATTCTTGGAGTGTGGCTGCCTCTGTTGAATCTGCCATGTTTGAGAGATTAGGTTCTTTTGAAGGGACTCAAAAAGCAAAGTACAGATCCATTCTTTTCAACATGGGAGACAGCAGGAATCCAGACCTGAGGAGGAAAGTACTACTCGGAGAGATCAGTGGAGAGAGGTTAGTGACTATGGAGAAAGAAGAGATGGCTAGCAACAAGATTCAGATGGAAATTCAAAATATCAAAGAGAGAGTCAGAGTTAGGGATGAGAATCGAGTCAAGAGTATGATGACGTTTCAGTCAGACATGATGATCATGACTTAGGGCAATATAGAAAGTCAGTTTATTAACAGTGTACAATTATTCTCTCTTGTATGGTTGGTGTGTGTACTCTGTGTTTAATTAGTAACTCTGTCTTGTTTTCATTGTTAAAAACAACTCTATGTTCTCAGTCTTTTAACATAATCTGATTCAATGACTGATCCCAATGCCTTTTTTCTTAGAAAAAAAATACTCCCTTGGCAAAAGAAGGTTTCCACAAAAGTATATTGACAGTTATACTAAACAATGTATAAACAGTTTCCCCACTAATTTTTAGAAGTTTCGTCTCGTTTAATACAACAAAATTATCTCCAAAATGTTTGTTGCTGGATTTAACTTGCTCATCCTAACCTGCATCAGTTAAGGGAAGTTTGATATCAACTCCAATGTTCTCATGTGTAGAACTGTTACAACTCTTTGTTCATTTCAATAGATGACCATCGGAATGAGTTGTCATTTTGGCTTTGTATGAGCTTCTTCTATAGGAGATGGATCTACTCTTCAACCCCTTTGTTGTTGTCTGACACAAATCCTTTTGTGTTGTCACTTGTTAACGGCAGGGTCAGATGCATATCAACTTCTTCTCCAAGTGGTTTATTATGTGATTCATCATCCTTAATAGACCAGCTCCCAGGAATGCATTGTTGTTCCTCTTCAATACTTTGTTCGGTTCAAATTGTATTAACGAACTAACCGAAAATCAAATTACCCAAAACAATATGCTTACTTCTAAGTATGGTGGTATAGATGGTTAGAGGTATTAAGAGACTCTTGGCAAGAGAGAAGGTTTATCACGCAAATAGAATGATAACAATAGTCCCAGACGATTTTCACAAAAACAGCAATCGAAATGGCGAGAAAAGAACCAAGTAACTGAATCACAACTTCACAAGTCCCCATAGTAAAAGTTAAAATCTCCGAAAACTCTTGTTTTTGATTGACTCCCCTAATGTTTAATCCTCCTCACTCTTATTTTCAGCCACTATCTTTTCCGGTACAACATGTTCGTTGCTACACTTATCTTGGTCATCCTGGACTGACTTTTCAGAGTGTTGCGGATCCAGATCGTCTGATGTATCATCTAAGGATGGTGAATCTGCTTCTTTTGAAGGAAGTTTGGTATCAACTCCGATAATTTCAGGTTCAGAACTCTTACCACTCTCAACTGATTCTTCCTTCATTTCAACAAGATGATCATCCGATGAGATTTTGTCATTCTCGCTTGTAAGAAGAGCTTCTTCGTTGAGAGATGACTCTACAGTTTCCTCTTCGACCCCTTTGCTGTCTTCGACGAAATCTTCTTTAGTGGTGTCAGAGGCACTTCTAAGAACAGCTTCTTCGTTAAGAGATGACTCTACAGTTTCCTCTTCCACCCCTTTGCTGTCTTCGACGAAATCTTCTTTAGTGGTGTCAGAGGCACTTGTAAGAACAGCTTCTTCGTTGAGAGATGACTTAACAGTTTCCTCTTCGACCCCTTTGCTGTCTTCGACGGAATCTTCTTTAGTGGTGTCAGAGGCACGATTAGATGCAAGATGTTGATCATCAGCTTCTTCTGCAAGAGGTGATTTATCTGATTCATCAACCTGAATGGAAGAGCTCAAGGGAAAGCCTGTCTCCTCTTCAGTAACATTTTCTGTCTTTGATCCCGAACCTTCAGGATTTGTGGAAGCAGGAAAAGACTGGAAAGTGTCCCAATCATCATCATCATCTTCTTCTTCGCCATCATTTTCCTCTTCGGTTCCACTTTCTACTGTGCTAACCTGATTTAATGATGTTGGCACAGTCGACAATGTTTCTGCTTTAACAGCAGCAGAATAGGTAACTTTCTCAGGTGTTGCTACCACAGGTGCTGGTAATTTGATATCCATTGGTGGAACCAAGGATTTTGGCTTCAGAGGGGAGCTATCTTGAGAGACGGAAGCACGGATGATATCCTAACATCATACGGACAAGGAAGCGAATTAGGCAGGTCTCTCAAATTTACTATTCATCAGGAAAATGAGTTATGAAAAAGTTCTTATAACTCAAAACGCATAGCTAATCAGATTGAATGTGCATTCACGAACCTGAAGCTGCTGCCGGTGAGTTGTTGGCAGCGACAGCAAAACATCCTTAAAGTGAACAGCTGAAGAAGGCAACTGAGCTAGATGGGAAACAAGCCGCACAGCTACGTTTCTTAACTCAAGGACTTCCTGGTTTTGATCCATAAAAACACAAAAGTAGTTGAAGTTTAGGAACTGCCTTAAGAGGGAGCAAAAAATTTCAAAAGCAAAATTTACAGGCCGGGATATGAATGGAACCTGAGAAACGCCATCTGAAGTCTTGGAGAAAACCACAAGAACGGATTCAAGAAAAAGGCTCATGAATCCCTTCTGAACTTCATCAACATTTGAATGCATCTGAAGTAGCATTATGAACCGCAAGCATTCACCAGCTATAACCACCGATTCCTTATTCATAGGTTTCTATCCAAAAAGGGAATAAGAAACAAGTCAGTCTTTTAACATAAAAGAAGAACTTCACTTTTCTGTTGATAATGGAAGGAAGAAACGAGAAAACAACCAGAAGCGCCCTCTGCATCAGACTGACAATATCTCCAATAAGTTCCCCAACAAAGAAGATCACAAAACTTTTCTCCTCAGTGTTGTTGTAACGCTGTACCAAGCTTTTTAGCACTTGCAAGGCAGTAGCTTGAACCTGCATATTATTAAACCCATAGTGTTAAGAGCTTGACAAATAATATATGACAAGTTGGCCAGTCTCAGTTACCTGCATACTGGAATCTTTAAGTGCTGCTGCTATACTAATGTGGCAACTCTTCAACACCGCAATAAATATAGAATTGGTCTCAGTTTCATCTCCTGGACAGTGAAGCTCGTCTGCAAACTTAGCCAGTGAAAAAAGTTGTTCCAGACAGAATGCAAGCTTTAACTGAAGAAGCTTGCGTAACCCTGCTCTCTTGGTGTCCACAAGATGGATACCGTCAATACAATCTTTAGTCAGATCACCAACCATGTGGACACAAGCACCAAACATTGCTCCCAGATGGACACTACTATCCCCAGCAACAGCATCTGTAATTAACGATTCGATAAACAGTGATTACAAACTTTTCAAGGTATCCCAAATAAGTATTGTATTTTGTATATGCCTTCATCTAAGAACAAGTTATTGCTTCGGCCCGTGTATCTAAAATGATAATGTCCCTTATTTATCATACTATTACTACCACATTAACTGCGGATTCAATTTTCATACCAGCAGAAGGTATCTGTGACGAGGTTCTGGTGAGATTAAGCAATAACTCATTGGTGGACTTCACAATCTCAAGAGCTTTTGGTAAGTAGACGTCAGTGGGGATTTGCCGGATGCACTTGTACCCACTTAACAGTAACGCCAGAGGTGCCGACATCAAACGATTCTGCACCATACCAGCAATCATCAGCTAGATGTGAGTGGAACAAATTAAAGCAAATATCAAGAAATTCAACAGATAAAAGCATAAATCGTTTAAAGGTTAAACATTACCTTCAACTCAAAACGTGTCACTAGTGTCTTTATGGAGATAAATATAGTAGACAGCAAGTTATCCCAAATATCATCATCATCTGGCAAAATTTCATTATGCCTGAAACGGAAAAGAAGAAGCCTTTGTTATAGTTCGTCCAGATGCAATTTCCTTGAGATGGTTTTTCAGGTTTGAAATAAACAGAACTGGAAGCGGCTTTCAAAAATCTCCTGGTATATGCTCACCTATGAAGAATTTTGAACAGGTACCCCAGACAGAGTTCAATGGTCGAGTAGGCAAACTGCTCAGATTCAAGAAAATCTTTTGGACAGGTTTGTGAAATCTGTTGAAACATGAAAACAAAATTGTATAAATAGTTGCATATTTTCTGGTGAACAAGGCATATATAGTCCTGAAAAGTTAATCCGAAATCATTTGGTACGAGGGAACTCAACTAACGCTGGTATTATGACAACGAAATATGTAATATATGTTGCCATGCCTATGGCTGCGTAACAGAAAATGATGAATAGTATGTTTTTGTTCAAACTAAATAAAGGAAAAAGTACAAAGAGAGAATATCTATATACAATGACCTCGAACCTCATTTTCAATCTTAGAAGTGAATAATGCAAGCTAAAAATTCTCTTGAAACTAAATTACCACTGAGAAGTGATGGTTTTAGGAACATCAACAAGTCATTTACCTGTTGTACTACGGATACCGCAAGAATATCCCATGAACTGTCCATATAAAAGGAATACGAGAAAACCTGGAAGAGTCACGAAAAAATGGACCCAATCAGAGTAGTATATAACTAACATAGCTAACAGCCTATTGCACGTGGACAAGGATAAAGCAGAAGTCAATCAGGAAAAAGAAAAAAAATGCTGGGTTGAGTAGATCTGTGTGTTCCAAAGAGGGAGCATGTAATTGCTTCAACCAATATTAATTCCTTCCATTAGCTAATGACATAAGAAGTATGATACGAACTTTAAAGTAAAAAGGATAAAAATAGATGTGGACCTACCTGCCATAGTTCTTGGCAGAGATCTATGCTAAGAAAGCCACAGGTGAAAAATCTTTCAGCAGAAAGAGATAAGAAAACTGGTAAAGCAATTTCATATAACTTTAGGCCCTGGAATGAAGATTCCTTAATGCTGGAGCCTCCACTATTTTTTACTTTAGTTGAGCCAAAAGGTATCACTTGTGTATTAGAGCCTGGATGCATCCCCTGAAATAAGACAAGTACAGCAAAGCCCCATAGAAACTGATAATCTTCAACCTCTAGGGTAACCATACGATGTCCAGATATTAAGGACCTATCAGAAAATCCTTCTTCGCTATGATTCACAGGAATTGCATCCAGGACCAAAGCTTGCAGGATCACAGGCCATGCCTCATCTAGACAAGGCTGCAGCCTTCTTGAGACAGTATGTGGCGGGATTTCATCTAAGATTGAGGACTGCTGCAGCAAGTCAAGAAAGCTTATTAG